TATTTCTGTGTCAGCGGTGGGGTCCTCCTGGGTCTCCTACCATATTTCTGTGTCAGCGGTGGGGTCCTCCTGGGTCTCCTACCATATTTCTGCGTCAGCGGTGGGGTCCTCCTGGGTCTCCTACTATATTTCTGCGTCAGCGGTGGGGTCCTCCTGGGTCTCCTACCATATTTCTGTGTCAGCGGTGGGGTCCTCCTGGGTCTCCTACCATATTACTGCGTCAGCGGCGGGGTCCTCCTGGGTCTCCTACCATATTTCTGCGTCAGCGGTGGGGTTCTCCTGAGTCTCCTACCATATTTCTGTGTCAGCGGTGGGGTCCTCCTGGGTCTCCTACCATATTTCTGTGTTAGCGGTGGGGTCCTCCTGGGTCTCCTACCATATTTCTGCGTCAGCGGTGGGGTCCTCCTGGGTCTCCTACCATATTTCTGCGTCAGCGGTGGGGTTCTCCTGAGTCTCCTATCATATTTCTGTGTCAGCAGGGGGGTCCTCCTCGGTCTCCTACCATATTTCTGTGTCAGCGGTGGGGTCCTCCTGGGTCTCCTACCATATTTCTGTGTCAGCGGTGGGGTCCTCCTGGGTCTCCTACCATAGCGTGCCTTTTCGTTCAGATGGCGACGTATAGTAGGAGCGGACACAGGTGTACCCTGTGCCTGAAGGTCGGCTTGGATTTGTCTGGAAGTTTATCGAGGTTCTTTAGCCACCATTCCAACAATCCTTCGTTGCAATCTTTCATCAATTTTTCTCTTTCATCCACGTCCAGGGAGATTAGCTACAGTGCCATGGGCTGTAAACATCTTGACAATGTTGTGCACAATGGACACAGGAACATTAAGATCTATTAATTGATACGGGGAGTTTCATTACAAACTACAGGAGCGTCACAGACTTGGAATGCAATTATTTCTTACAATTTTGAGAAGGGACCAATAATTTTTTCCAGTCCATTTTTGGGGCTTTGCGTGGAATGTGTCAGATTTGGCTTTTTGTTTCTCCGCTTTTTTGTGTCACCAATACAAACAAAAGAAATAAATAGGAGAATGCCGAAGCATTTGTAATTGCAACAATTTTCTGGGTGAAGTGGTGTGTTGTCTGACAGAAAAGCGGAGGGGGATGACAAGATTTTGGGCCATGACTGTATGTGATTGGTGACAACAATATTATGTGAGCGGTGACAATAGTTTTTTTTTTTTCAGCCTGATTTTGAATTCTAATGTTTTATTGACTTATACAACTGTTTTCTATTTTTTGCAACCATAACTTGTACTTTGAATTACTTTTTGTTTAATAGTGTGCGGGCAAAGTGTTTTCTGTTTTTTTTTAAGCGAATCATTTTCCTTTCTTTTAGTAAAATAAATTGCTGCTCATTAGGATCTGCCTGGAATGCTTCCTTCTGTAGCTAATAGCAAACTGACTGAGTGCCATCTACTGGTTGAAAAAGGAATTGCCTTTCCAGCTTGAACGTTCCTTGACTCACTAGTGCAAGGGGACTCCAAACTTTCTAAAGAAAGGGCCAGCTTACTGTCCTTCAGATTTTTGGGGGGCAGGAGTGGCCAGTGGAAGTAGAAAATGCCCCATTGAAAGTGGGAGTAAAATAAAAATGACATAGTGTTTGCAGTCAGTGGAAGGAGGAATAGTGCCCAATCAATGGTATTAGTTGGGAGTCAGTGGGAGGATAGTGCCCCATCATTGGTGTCAGTGGGAGGAATAGTGCCCCATCACTGGTGTCAGTGGGAGGAATAATGCCCCATCATTGGTGTCAGTGGGAGGAATAGTGCCCTCATCGTTGGTGTCAGTGGGAGGAATAGTGCCCCATCGTTGGTATCAGTGGGAAGAATAGTGCCCCATCGTTGGTATCAGTGGGGGGAATATAGTGCCCCATCATTGGTGTCAGTGGGAGGAATAGTGCCCAATCATTGGTGTCAGTGGGGGGAATAGTGGCCAATCATTGGTGTCAGTGGGAGGAATAGTACCCCATCGTTGGTATCAGTGGGAAGAATAGTGCCCCATCGTTGGTGTCAGTGGGAGGAATAGTGCCCCATCATTGGTGTCAGTGGGAAGAATAGTGCCCCATCGTTGGTGTCAGTGGGGGGAATAATGCCCCATCGTTGGTATCAGTGGGAAGAATAGTGCCCCATCGTTGGTATCAGTAGGAAGAATAGTGCCCCATCATTGGTATCAGTGGGGGAATAGTGCCCCATCATTGGTGTCAGTGGGAGGAATAGTGCCCAATCATTGGTGTCAGTGGGGGGAATAGTGGCCAATCATTGGTGTCAGTGGGGAGGAATAGTGCCCCATCATTGGTGTCAGTGGGAGGAATAGTACCCAATCATTGGTGTCAGTGGGGGGAATAGTGGCCAATCATTGGTGTCAGTGGGGAGGAATAGTGCCCCATCATTGGTGTCAGTGGGAGGAATAGTGCCCAATAATTGGTGTCAATGGGGAGGAATAGTGCCCCATCGTTGGTGTCAGTGGGAGGAATAGTGCCCCATCGTTGGTGTCAGTGGGAGGAATAGTGCCCCATCGTTGGTGTCAGTGGGAGGAATAGTGCCCCATCGTTGGTGTCAGTGGGAGGAATAGTGCCCCATCGTTGGTGTCAGTGGGAGGAATAGTGCCCCATCGTTGGTGTCAGTGGGAGGAATAGTGCCCCATCGTTGGTGTCAGTGGGAGGAATAGTGCCCCATCGTTGGTGTCAGTGGGAGGAATAGTGCCCCATCGTTGGTGTCAGTGGGAGGAAGACTGCTGAGCCTTGACCTGTAGAAGTTTCCATCTTATGTTGGGTCATTGTTTTGAGATTTTCTGCAATTTATGAGTCTTTGCTTTTCCTCACTACACCAGATAGAATTAAAAAGCAGCTCTCAGAGCAATACTCCCGCTATCTCCGATGCTGCCTTCAGAAGACTCACCACTCTGAGATCCAGATCCCTCTCCTCTGTCAGGCCTAATGACGTCCTGCATGATTCCACCCACTCCCTGTGAGTGCAGAGTGCCAAGGACCCGCCTCCCCGAGGGTCAGTTTTCAAGCTTCCCTAGACTCAGGAGACTGCTGCATAGAACCGTGCTTACACCATTACGTGACTGCCCACTGAACATACATAAGGGGGGGATATGATCCCCATGTATAATACATAAGGGGGGATATGATCTCCATGTATAATACATAAGGGGGATATGATCTCCATGTATAATACATAAGGGGGGATATGATCTCCATGTATAATACATAAGGGGGGATATGATCTCCATGTATAATACATAAGGAGGGATATGATCTCCATGTATAATACATAAGGGGGGATATGATCTCCATGTATAATACATAAGGGGGGATATGATCTCCATGTATAATACATAAGGGGGGATATGATGTCCGTGTATAATACATAAGGGGGATATGATCACCATGTATAATACATAAGGGGGGGGTATGATCTCCATGTATAATACATAAGGGGGGATATGATCTCCATGTATAATACATAAGGGGGGATATGATCACCATGTATAATACATAAGGGGGGGATATGATCTCCATGTATAAATACATAAGGAGGGGGATATGATCACCATGTATAATACATAAGGGGGGATATGATCTCCATGTATAATACATAAGGGGGATATGATCTCCATGTATAATACATAAGGGGGGATATGATCTCCATGTATAATACATAAGGGGGGATATGATCTCCATGTATAATACATAAGGGGGGATATGATCAACATGTATAATACATAAGGGGGGGATATGATCTCCATGTATAATACATAAGGGGGATATGATCTCCGTGTATAATACATAAGGGGGGATATGATCTCCATGTATAATACATAAGGGGGGATATGATCTCCATGTATAATACATAAGGGGGGATATGATCTCCATGTATAATACATAAGGGGGGATATGATCTCCATGTATAATACATAAGGGGGGATATGATCTCCATGTATAATATATAAGGGGGGATATGATCTCCATGTATAATACATAAGGGGGGATATGATCTCCATGTATAATACATAAGGGGGGATATGATCAACATGTATAATACATAAGGGGGGGATATGATCTCCGTGTATAATACATAAGGGGGATATGATCTCCGTGTATAATACATAAGGGGGGATATGATCTCCATGTATAATACATAAGGGGGGATATGATCTCCATGTATAATACATAAGGGGGGATATGATCACCATGTATAATACATAAGGGGGGGATATGATCTCCATGTATAATACATAAGGGGGATATGATCTCCGTGTATAATACATAAGGGGGGGATATGATCTCCATGTATAATACATAAGGGGGGATATGATCTCCATGTATAATACATAAGGGGGGATATGATCTCCATGTAATAATACATAAGGGGGATATGATCTCCATGTATAATATATAAGGGGGGATATGATCTCCATGTATAATACATAAGGGGGGATATGATCTCCATGTATAAGGGGGGATATGATCTCCATGTATAATACATAGACTCCCTCAGGTTGGTTGTGGCCAGCTCAGTGGATTGCTGTAGGAAAGTCCTGGATTCTTTCTTGGATACACAGAATATAACTGGATATAACATTTATAGGTAAAGTTGATCCAGGGAATATCTGATCGCCTCTCGGGGGATCAGGAAGGAATTGATTCCCCTGCAGGAGCAAATTGGAGCGTGTTTTGCTGGATTTTTTTTTGCCTTCCTCTGGATCAACTGTGGGTGTAGGATTATAACTTTTTTTTTTCCAATGGTTGAACTGGATAAACTTTTGTCTTTTTTCAGCCAGACTAACTATGTAACTATCCTAATAAAGAAGTAAAAATATACCACAGATCCTTATAGAAAATATTTATTAAATCTACACAGTTGTCGGGGTTGATTGATATTGTGCATTAGGTTGGATTGTAGCGGTGCTCTAGGGCGGAGTAGACTCCGCCTCTTCTGCCCAGGGCGGCGGCTAGCTGCTTCGATTCTATTGGAGAAGCCCCATAATTAGGCAGCTTTCTGTTTCTCACTCCTCTCCGCATCTATGGTCAGAACTCGCTCTCGCTCCTTGATCAGCTGAACTCCACAATAGGTCACAAACCAGATGGACAACGTGCTCATCGGGAAACCTGTAGAGGAGGACAAAATGCATCAAAGAATGGGAGAAAAACAAGGATCTTAGATTGGTTGGATTAGTTGTCAATTACATATGATTGTGCCCAATTACACGGTTACATAGCTGGTGGGGTTGGATCAGGGGTGGACTGACAACTCATGGGGCCCCCGGGCAATAGGGGATCATGGGGCCCCTGTGTCCTTGCCCAACTCAAAAAAGCCTATGAAAAAGGTACCATGGGCATCTCATGGGGCCCCTACTGACCCCGGGCCCTCGGGCAGTGCCCGAATTTCCAAATGGTCAGTCCGCCCCTGGGTTGGATAAAGACACCAGTTTATCCAGGTCTTCCAGTGTGGGTGAGGGGTCATGTGTGTCTTTACGTCAATCCCATTTCCCATATCCCTGTATATTGCGTTCACTTCATCCTCAGATCCTCATCTAAGAGGTTTTGTTTCATTATCCACGCTTCCTGCAGACACCACCAACTGTGAAAGAGAATTCCACGTCCTTACTGCTCTGACAGTAAATGAACCCCCTATGCAGTTTAGGGTAAACTGCTTCTCCAATTTCATTGGCCCTGTGTCCTCCTAAAGTGTTACTAAACCCCCCAACAGTACAATCAGTCTGTAGATGCAGTAAAGCATGCTTGTTATACTCACTGTGGAACCTAAGGGGTTAATCCTCTGCATTGTGTAAATAAGCTGTTTTGTCCTGTTTTCTCTGCTCCTCCACTTGTTCAAATGTCCACTTGATAAGACAGACTGAACCCGTAGTCACTCTGCACATGCTCAGTTTGATGTGTATTGCTATAGAGGCATTTTTTTTTTTTCTTGGAGAGAGTGCATGTGACCAGCACAGGACCAACCAGCACTATCCAGACAGAGGTCAGGGGTTCTGCATCCTCTTAGAGCAGAAAAAAACCTCCTCCTACAAGCTTTAACCAGTGCTCTGCTGAAGTCACAAGACAGCTTGAGAAAAGGAATTTAACAGTTTATATTTACTAAAATAATAGCATTTACATGGTCTGTGTACTGTGGGAGAGCGGGTATAGTGAATGCAGGGTCCGGGGAGACCAGATATAGTGAATGCAGGGTCCGGGGAGACCAGATATAGTGAATGCATGGTCCGGCGGGACCAGATATAGTGAATGCAGGGTCCGGGGGAGAGCGGATATAGAGAATGCAGGGTCCAGGGAGAGTGAATATAGTGAATGCGGGGTCTTGCGGAGACTGGATATAGTGAAGCGGGGTCCGGGGAGAGCGGATATAGTGAATGCAGGGTCTAGGACAGCGAATATAGTGAATGCAGGGTCCAGGGAGAGCGGATATAGTAAATGCAGGGTCCAGGGAGAGCGGATATAGTGAATGCAGGGTCCGGGGAGAGCGGATATAGTGAATGCAGGGTCCGGGGAGAGCGAATATAGTGAATGCAATGTCCGGGGAGACCAGATATAGTGAATGCAGGGTCCGGGGAGAGCGGATATAGTGAATGCGGGGTCTGGGAGAGCGGATATAGTGAATGCGGGGTCCGGGGAGACCAGATATAGTGAATGCAGGGTCCAGAGAGACCAGATATAGTGAATGCAGGGTCCGGGGAGAGTGGATATAGTGAATGCAGGGTCCGGGGAGAGCAGATATAGTGAATGCGGGGTCCAGGGAGACCAGATATAGTGAATGCAGGGTCCGGGAAGACCGGATATAGTGAATGCGGGGTCCAGGGAGAGCGGATATAGTGAATGCAGGGTCCGGGGGAGAGCGGATATAATGAATGCACGGTCCGGGGAGACCAGATATAGTGAATGCAGGGTCCGGGGAGAGCGGATATAGTGAATGCAGGGTCCGGGGAGACCAGATATAGTGAATGCAGGGTCCGGGGAGACCGGATATAGTGAATGCAGGGTCCAGGGAGACCGGATATAGTGAATGCGGGTCCGGGGAGAGACCGGATATAGTGAATGCGGGGTCCGGGGAGACCGGATATAGTGAATGCGGGGTCCGGGGAGAGCAGATATAGTGAATGCAGGGTCCGGGGAGAAGGGATATAGTGAATGCGGGGTCCGGGGAGAGCGGATATAGTGAATGCGGGGTCCGGGGAGAGCGGATATAGTGAATGCGGGGTCCGGGGAGAGCGGATATAGTGAATGCGGGGTCCGGGGAGAGCAGATATAGTGAATGCAGGGTCCGGGGAGAAGGGATATAGTGAATGCGGGGTCCGGGGAGAGCGGATATAGTGAATGCGGGGTCCGGGGAGAGCGGATATAGTGAATGCGGGGTCCGGGGAGAGCAGATATAGTGAATGCGGGGTCCGGGTCCGGAGACCACATATAGTGAATGCAGCGTGACACTTTAAGCTTCCTGAGACTGAATAGTTTTTTTTTTTGATTTCCTATTCTATTGGACCCGGTACACCAGCGCAGTTAGTTCCAGGTTTGGCGTGAAGGAAACAATGGTAGAACGCGCCACATTATGTTCATGATGGGATCCATAGTGAATACAACCAGAAAAGACCGGTCATCTCAACACATACTGCCCTCTCTGCTTCTGCTCTCTCTGTTTCTCACAAAATGTCTGAAATAGTTAATTATGTACTATTTTTCAGTGTATTCTGGGCATTTCGGAAAGGTCTCCTGAGGTTATCTTTTAAAAACGCTTCTAAGCGCAAACGCGCATAAACATGGCTGAATGCGTATAAACATGATAGGTAAACGCGGCTAAACTGACATTTTTAACCTACATTTTCTAGCAGTCAGTTTCCAGAGGTCAGAAAAGTTTTTCAAATGCCCCGTGTACATGAGCCCTCATTTGCCATGTAGCTGCCCACCCCTATTCTATATCCTGCTGTGAAGTTATTACTCTGCTTAACTTTGTCCAGTGATTGTGTGCTAATGAACGTTTTGTAATCAGCTGCAGGAAAGTCATGAATCACTGTATCTGCTGTCTGTGAACATACTCATGTGTCCAGGTCAGGGGCGGACTGACCATTCGGGCACTGCCCAAGGGCCCAGGGTCAGTAGGGGGCCCCATGAGAAGCCCCTGGTACCTTTCATTTGGGTGTGGTTTGAGTGTGGGCGAGGACACAGGGGCCCCATGATCTCTTATTGCCCGGGGGCCCCATGAGTTATCAGTCCGCCCCTGGTCCAGATCATGGTACATACATTAGTTAGTCACATCCAACTGGACTTGTTCTGCAATGTTGAAGACGTTTCCTAGCGTGGCCAAACCACTTCTTAGGTGAGTGTCAAGAAAATATCCCAAGATTTATATCTAGACAGGTAGGCCAAGACCACCCATCAATTCCATAGGTGTTGTTGTCAAGAATATATCCCAAGATTTATATCTAGACAGACAACTTCATCCAATGTTTAGATGTTGGTTGTCTAAGAAACTGGATAAGAGGTGTAGCACTACCCCCTTAGGAGTCGCTAGAGATTTGAGTCCCCCTATAGTCCTGCACAGCCAGGCAACATGCATTTTCCACACAGACTTGCATCCAGGAGATAAACAACCAAGGGAATAGGAGCTTGGATGGGGTAAGGGCTGTATGGGATACCTTCCCACACTTTTCCCCCCTTCCAGTCCGGACACTTTCCCCCCACTTTCCCCCCTTCCAGTCCGGACACTTTTTCCCCCCCTTCCAGTCCGGACACTTTCCCCCCTTCCAGTCCGGACATTTTCCCCCCCTTCCAGTCCGAACACTTTCCCCCCTTCCAGTCCGGACATTTTCCCCCCCTTCCAGTCCGGACACTTTCCCCCCCTTCCAGTCCGGACACTTTCCCCCCCTTCCAGTCCGGACACTTTCCCCCCCCTTCCAGTCCGGACACTTTCCCCCCTTCCAGTCTGGACACTTTCCCCCCTTCCAGTCCGAGCACTTTTCCCTCATTCTAGTCCGGAAACTTTCCCCCCTTCCTGTCCAGGCCAATTTTCAGCTTTCAGCGCTGTCGCACTTTGAATGACAATTGCGCGGTCATGCAACACTGTACCCATATGAATTTTTTTGCATTTTTTTGAGACAGATAAAACTTTATGGTGGTATTTATTCACCGCTGGGATTTTTGTTTTTTTTTGCTATATAAATGAAAAAGTCCAAAAATTTTGAAAAAAAGTGTTTTTTCTTATAACATTTTGCAAATAAATCTTTCTTCATAAATCTTGGCCAAAATGTATTCAATTATCTTTTTAGTAAAAAAAAAAGAACCCCAATTAGCTTATAAGCAAAAATTATAATTTTTCAAATTTTTTTTTAAACTTTTTTTTTTTTTTTTTTTTTAAATAATATTATTTGGGTTTTTTTTTTTTTAACATGCTGTCACCCTAGCAGTACAATGTCACCATGGTGACACTGTACTACTTGTGGGGGGTGATGAAGATTTTTTTTTTTTTTAACACTGATTGCTTTTACACCCATAAAGGCTGTAAAAGCAATCATTTCTCTTTCTCTCTGGCTGCATTCTTGTAGCCATTGAGAAATACTGTGTGAGCTGTGATTCACAGATTTCACACGTAGTAAGCAATGATGTCACGAGTGACATCTTGCTTACACCTATTCATGTTATCACTGATTGGCCAATCAGTGATCACATGATTGGAACCTCACACAGAGGTCCCGTACAGCGATCGGTGTTCCTCCGGACACAGCAGGCACCGGATCATGGTGCTGCGCGCTCCCAGGGAGTGCGCACAATCCAAAATGGCGGGCGCCGTTTATGAACGACAACCTGCCCCTGCACTGCCACCGTCCGGCCGTTTATATACAGCAACCGGACAGGCAGTGGTTAGCAGCAAAAATTATCTCCTTGGAGAGCTAGCCAGCATCTCCTGATGTACCACCCCAGACCCCATACACTCCTCTATCCAGTTCTCTGAAGGAATCCCTGGGCAGGGGATCCAGTGCCTGTTATTTTAAATATAAGACAGTCCCAGGTAGCAAGCTAATCCAGTTTCCTGCTAGAGTGCTCCTTTCCCTTTCTGGTCCAGGGGGTGCAGGTCTACTCACTAAGTCCGCTGTCTGTGAGCTGATGGGCCGTGGCTGCTCTCAGATCTTCCGCTGTGCCGTGCCTTTCCTGCTCCACAGGTGGTCCTTGCTCTGGGGGCTGATGAGGTCCTAAGCTTTCCTCCTTTCCAGCTCCTCTGCCTGTAGGTGAGCCCCTTCCCATCTGGATCCCTTCCCAGGCTTCTACTCTCCAGCCTCTCACTTAATCGTCCACCCAAACTCTCCTGCTGCTGAGCAGGCTCTCCCACATTTAAGGGCTGCACTGGCCCCAAGCCTCCTGCTTGGGGATTAGCCAAGTTCTCCTAAGTGAGCAAGCCAGCCCCTCCTCACCCCTACCCACTGCTTATAGAATCCTCTCCAAGATCTCCAGAGCAGGCAGAGGTATCAGGGAACTGACCTGCAGAGCCTCTCAGCCCTGACCCTAAATCAACCCAACTATTACACCTGAGCTGCTACTCAGCCCCCCTTACTAAAAATTAAACTCTAGCTCCCCCTGGCTATCTGGAGGGGTGCTACATAGGTGTGAAAGTTGTGGAACCCCCCCCCTGTTCTATTTACATAATCCCATCCTCAGTATCTGGAAGTCTTCACAGGTGTTACTTCCTCGATTCACATGGCTAAAGGTGTGAATTGTTGGCAGGTGCCAGGGTTGAGCATTATATATGGAATACAGATGGTGATGAAGACCCCCCCCCACCACTGTTCACTGGTTGGTTCTTTCAATTTGACATAGATGGCTTTCATGCCACTTGCAAACTAGTTGTCCTCTATATCCAAAACGTGCACAGTAATGTTCCACACCTTCCCAGCTCCCTTCTGGAGGCTATGAAAGGGGTAAATGAGATTAAACCTAAAAAGGGGGGAATATACCTGTTTTATAAGTAAATCTGCACCTTTATGACAATGGTGCTCTTTAACCCTCAATGTATGTACCTACCTGTGATGAGGATCCTCTTGGCGACCAGTATAGCAAATTCCAGGCTGTTCAGGGCTAAAATATTGTACAGAATGATGGCCCAGAAATTGGCAGCGCCGAATATCCCCCGGATTCTCCGGGACATGGACTCAGGTAAGGAGGCCTGGAAAGAGAAGCAATGTAGACAGTAAGTGAATGACTACTTATTGTATTTATCCATGTTAATCCTACAAAGCAATCCAAACTGATGAAGGTAATGCAGATGATGGAATGAAGGTAGCGTCCCTCACCCAAACTATACGGCTACTCCAAGTAATGCTTTAAATGATTGACCCGAATCAAGTATGCAGATAAGGACCTCTGATTTTCCTCTGATGTTCTACTTGTTTTGGGTCAATAATTTAGAAAGTACTGTAGCCTTTGTATTAGCATGTTTGCTGAGAGAAAAAAAGCATTTTAAAAAGTAGCTCATTAATGGCAGCACCCATGGCTACCATGGCCAGTTTAGTTGAACCAACTGGGTGTTTTTTTATTGTTGGTCACTAGTGTTCTCCAGATATAGTGCTGGGAAAAAGTATTTGCCCCTTCCTGATTTTTTTTTTTTTGCATATTTGTCACACCCATTATTCAGATCAAACAAATTTTATTTTTACACAAAGAAAATCTGAGAATGTAGAGCTTTCTTGAGGGCCGCTGTGTACTGGGTATCCCTAAGCCTCTCTCCGCACAGCCAGGCAACAGGTATTTCTCATACAGACTTGCATCCAAAGACAATGACCAATCCATGGGATTGGTTTTGTTGTTTTATTAGGGGAATTCAACTTGGATAGGGAAATAGGGATTATGGGATGCCCAGTTTGACTTGAATCAATGGAAGGGGGACACTTCCTTCCTATGTACAGATCAGATCCTGGACTGTTCTTTTCTTGAAAGCCGTCAGTCATTGCGGATCAGCAGCAGCTGCCCTTTTTGGGTGAGGAACTGGCAGCCTCTCACAAATCAGCATTACTTCTCGTAGCTACATGTAGAGATGTCTTCTCCCCCCTGTAGAGTTGCTCCACAGCCTGAAAACACTACCAGCCCTCCTGGCTTCTCGGAAGATCTCCCGGGACAAGGATAAAGGACTGAGCCCAGCGCTGACCTTAGAAAGCTTGCTACGTGTGGCCAATCTTTCCCCTTGTAGACCCCAGAGAGGGCTGCTGTACTCACACTGTCCTCATTGCTTCCTGCTGCTCCAAATCTCAATCCCATTCATGCCTCACTGCTGAATGTATCCTCCAGAGCTAGCCCAAGCCCAGCCTAGAGGCAGCCCCCCCCCCCCCAGACCTAGGGGACCCCTCCCAGGCACCGACAGTCTTCTCAGCACTCCATCTTCCACCCAACCCCTGTCAGTCTGGCTCTCCCATATTTATGGGCCAATCCACAATTCCACCAGGGCCTCCAAACCTGGGATTGACTGGACCCTCATGAACATGCAGATCAGGCCTCCACCCCTTCCTGCTTACCAATTTCTGGTTCTATGGTCCTCCAGAGTCAGGAGGAGGTGCTAGAGCCACAACCTGTTAAATCATCCAGCTGATCTGCAATAACCCGACTTCAATCACAGACTCACACACCTACCATGAGTCATACACAATGATTTTACCTACAATACACTACACTATTCTAGTAGCACACTAGAGGGTGCTACACGAGTAAATACAAAATGCAGTTTTTAAATGATGATTTAATTTATTAAGGATAGAAAAGCTGTCCAAACCTACCTGACCCTATGCGAAAAAATAATTGCCCTGCCATTGCTAAATCATGAATCAACTGTGATAAACCACTTTTTGTTAATGCTGAGTTACATTTCACTTGCCACACCAAGATCTGATTACTGCCAGACCTGTTGAATCAAGAAATCACTTAAAGTGTTTTTCAAAAACCAGGACCCTGCATTCACTATATCTGGTCTCTCACAGTACACAGAGCATGGAAATTCAATCATTTTAGTCAATATAAATGGCTAAATACCTTTTCTCATCAGCAGTATATTGTATAGCAGTCTTCTGACTTCTATCAGTGGTTAAAGATTGTAGGAGGCATTTTCTCTAGGAGGATGCAGAACCCCTGACCTCTGTTTGGGCAGTGCCTATTGGCCCTGTGCTGATCATATGCACTCTCCCAAGAAAAAAAACTCTCTAGCAACTGACACTAAACTGAGCATGTGCAGAGTGACTCCACACCCTATGTCTTATCTGGAGATAAGAGGGGAACACTGGAAGAAGGGGAGGATCAGAGAAGACCAGATCAAACATCCTTTTTACACAATAGAGAGGATTAACCTCTTAGGTTCCACAATGAGTGTAACAAGAATGCTTTACTGCATCTACAGGCTGATTGTACTGTTGTGGGTTTAGTAACACTTTAAATAGAAGCTGTCTGACAAAGTGAAGATCGCTAAAAGATCTAAAAAACACATCATGCCGCGATCTAAAGAAATTCAACAACAGATGAGAAACCAAGTAATTGACATGTATTGTATCAGTCTGGAAAGGGTTACAAAGCCATTTCTAAGGCATTGGGACTCCAGCAGGCCACAGTGAGAGCCTTTATCCACAAATGGAGAAAACTTGGAATGGTGGTGAACCTTCCCAGGAGTGGCCGGCTGACCACAATTACTCCAAGAGTACAATGGCGACTCATCCAGGAGAACCCAGAACAACATCTAAAGAACTGCAGGCCTCACTTGCCTCAGTTAAGGTCGGTGTTCATGACCAGGGGCAGACTGACCATTTGGAAACTCAGGCACTGCCCGAGGGCCCGGGGTCAGTAGGGGGCCCCATGATATGCCCCTGGTACCTTTTTCATAGGCTTTTTTGAGTTTGGGCAAGGACACAGGGGACCCATGATTCCCTATTGCCCGGGGGCCCATGAGTTGTCAGTCCACCCCTGTTCATGACTCAACAATAAGAAAGAGACCGGGCAAAAATGGTGTCCATTTGAGAGTTCCAAGGCCAAAGCTACTGCTGACCAAAAAGAACACAAAGGCTCGTCTTACATTTGCCGAAAAACATCTTGATTATCCCAAGACTTTTGGGCAAATATTCTGTAGACTGATGAGACAAAAGTTGAACTTTCTGGAAGGTGAGCGTCCCGTTACATCTGGCATAAAACTAACACAGCATTTCATAAAAAGAACATCATCCCAACAGTCAGACATGGTGGTGGTAGTGTGGTGGTCTGGGGCTCCTTTGCATCTTCAGGACCTGGACGACTTGCCATAATTGATGGAACCATAAACTCTGCGCTCTACCAGAAAATCCTGAAGGAGAATGTCCAGCCATCAGTTCCTGACCTCATGCTCAAGTGCACTCGGGTTATGCAGCAGGACAATGATCCGAAAAGCACCAGTAAGTCCACCTCCGAATGCCTCAAAAACACAAAATTAAAGTTTTTGAGTGGCCTAGTTAAAGTCCAGAATTAAATCCGATAGAGATGCTGTGGCATGACATTAAACAGACTATTCATGTGGCTGAATGAAAACAATTCTGCAGAGTAGGCCACAATTCCTCCACAGCGATGCAAAAGAATCCCTTGCCAGTTATCACAAACGCTTGATTGCAGTTGTTGCTGGCACAACCAGTTATCACGTTTGGGGCGGGGGCAATTACTTTTCCACATAGAGCCCGGCAGGTTTGGACAGCTTTTTTCCTTTAACCACTTCAATTCCGGACACTCCCCCCCCTCCTGTCCAGGCCAATTTTCAGCTTTCAGTGCTATCACAATTTGAATGACAATTGCGCGGTCATGCAACACTGTACCCATATGAATTTTTTTGCATTTATTTGAGACAGATAAAGAGATAAAGCTTTATTTTGGTGGTATTTATTCACCACTGGGATTTTTTTTTTTTTGCTATGTAAATGAAAAAGTCCAAAAATTTTGAAAAAAAGTGTTTTTCTTATACAATTTTGCAAATTAATAATATTTCATCATAAATCTTGACCAAAATTTATTGCATTATCTTTTTATTAAAAAAAAAAACCCAAATTAGTTTATAACCAGAAATTATAATTTTTAAACACTTGTTTTACATTTTTATTTTATTTTTTTTGTATTATTATTTTTTTTTTTTTTTTACATACTGTCACCCTAGCTGCAGTGTCACCATAGAGAACTGTACTACTTGTGGGGGGTGATGAAGATTTTTTTTTTTTTTACACTGATTGCTTTTACACCCACAAAGGCTGTAAAAGCAATCATTTCTCCTCTCTGGCTGCATTCTTGCAGCCATTGAGAACTACTGTGTGAGCTGTGATTGGTCACAGCTTGTCATATGGTACAAGCCCCTTCCAGTCCAGACACTTTCACCCCCTGCCAGTCCGGACACTTTCCCCCCCCTTCCAGTCCGGACACTTTCCCCCCCCCCACTTCCAGTCCGGACACTTTCCCCCCCGGACACTTTCCCCCCCGGACACTTTCCCCCCCCAGACACTTTCCCCCCCTTCCAGTCCGGACACTTTCCCCCCCTTTCCAGTCCGGACACTTTCCCCCTCTTCCTGTCTGGGACACTTTCACCCCCCTTTCTGTCCAGGCCAATTTTCAGCTTTCAGCGCTATCACACTTTGAATGACAATTGCGCGGTCATGCAACACTGCACCCATATTCATTTTTTAGCAATTTTTTTGAGACAGATAAAGCTTTATTTTGGTGGTATTTATTCACCGCTGGGATTTTTTTTTTTGCTATGTAAATGAAAAAGTCCAAACATTTAGAAAAAAAATGTTGCAAATAAATAATATTTCATCATAAATCTTGGCCAAAATTTATTGCGTTATCTTTTTAGTAAAAAAAAAATAACCCAAATTAGTTTATAACCAGCAATTATAATTTTTAAACATGTTTTTTACATTTTTATTTTATTTTTTTATATTATTTTTTGTTTTTTTTACATACTGTCACCCTAGCAGTACAGTGTCACCATAGAGAACTGTACTACTTGTGGGGGGTGATGAAGATTTTTTTTTTTTTACACTGATTGCTTTTACACCCATAAAGGCTGTAAAATCAATCAGTTCTCCTCTCTGGCTGCATTCTTGCAGCCATTGAGAACTACTGTGTGAGCTGTGATTGGTCACAGCTTGTCATATGGTACAAGACTGTTGTGAATAGCCCTGTACCATGTGATCTCTGTGATCATTCACAGATTTCACACGTAGTAAGCAATGATGTCAGAAGTGACATTTTGCTTACTGCTCTGCATGTGATCAATGATTGGCCAATCAGTGATCACATGACCGGGACCTCGCAGAGAGGTCCCGTACGACAATCGGTGTTCCACTATGTCTGGAGGACACAGCGGGCACCGGATCGCGGTGCTGCGCGCTCCTAGGAAGCGTGCACAAGCAGGGGGCAGGGAGGCCGTTTATAAACTGCCACCCGACCCTGCACTGCCACCGCCCGGCCGTTTATATACAACGGCCGGACGGGAAGTGGTTAATAAATGAAATCACACATTTTAAAAATGCATTTTGTATTTACTCGGGCTATCTTTGTGTAACATTCAAATTTGTTTGATGATCTCAATTATTTAAAAATGCAAAACAATATAAACAAAAAAAATCAGGAAGGGGGCAAATACTTTTTCACAGCACTGTAAGTCTAGCACCAGAACTGCCTGCAAAACCTCAAATAATAATACCATCTGGATAATACGATTGCCAACACGAGTGTTTGAGAAACGTCCCTTATCAAACTTCAGTACTTCTGACTGTCCTCCCGCGACCAAATCCTCAGGAAGAGACCGTCTGCACTCACACATAGACAGAAATCCCCCACCTGGGAGCTCCTGGTCTGATGCATTTCATCCAAAAAGGCCGGGTTCAATAATAGAGGAGCATTGCAATAAAGCCCAGCCTTGTGGGTGAAACAGCGGAGGAGGTCCTGATGGGAACTCTGTTCACATTGATGAGTGAAGTTTCTAGCGCTTACATTTTTCTGCAGCCATACAGTGCAGCCAGTCTTTACCGTTAGGTTTGTGCAGTCTGTGGGACGTAGGACGAGCCCCTGTTTGCATCGAGCACCTGATCTTCAACAGAGGTAACCAGGGGCGCACTGACCATTCGAGCACTCGGGCACTGCCCGAGGGCCCGGGGTCAGTAGGGGGCCCCATGAAATGCCTCTGGTACCTTTTATAGGCTTTTTTGGGTGTGCTTTGAGTGTGGGCAAGGACACAGGGGCCCCATGATCCTCTATTGCCCGGGGGCCCCATGAGTTGTCAGTCCGCCCCTGGAGGTAACCCAATTCAGGCCTTGGGAGCAGCGTATCCCTTTCTTTTGTTCTCTCATGCCCATGACCACATCAGCACTCGTCTCTGGCAAACACCAGACACATATACATGGCACATTATCCAAGGGGTTAAAGTAAGCTCATCATTTTTAGAACTGGTGAAGTGATTTCAGGTCAAAGCAATCACTTATTTCTGACTCTGAATGTGATCCCCTACCATGGCGCTTGCGGTGGGTCCTTGGCTCTCCCTTTCCTCCTGGGAGCCCAGTCCTATAGAGAGAGGAGGAGCTCCGCTGCGACTAATGACTTGATAATTACTGATTAGCTGCAGGGGAGACATTGGAGGTCTAATAGACCTTTGATGTCTCCGTGAAGAGGACCTGTCACCTGCCTAGTGCTATCAAATAGGGGCCTGTTGGCCCCATACCGTAGCAATACATTTTAATAAAGAAAAAACGTAAACAAAAGTGTTACAAAATAAATTCTATTCAATAAGTAATTAAAAACACTTTTAAAGTACCCTGGTCGCTCGCATACACATCCAAATTCAAACGCACAGAGTAGGGTGAGTAGGGTATGGAAACATAAATGGTGCCTCACATGGGAAGTATCGCTGCGGACATCAAAGTGAGAGCAGTAATGTCAGGACACAAACTGAAGTGCGCATGCACCAGCACACAGGCAAGGAATTTCTGCCAGTAACCTGTGTAGGAACCAGGGGCAGACTGACCATTTGGAAGCTTGGGAACTCCCCGGGGTCAGTAGGGGGCCCCATGAGATGCCCCTGGTATCTTTTTCATAGGCTTTTTTGAGTTTGGGCAAGGACACAGGGGTCCCATGATCCCCTGTTGCCCAGGGGCCCCATGAGTTGTCAGTCCGCCCCTGGTAGGAACACATGTTGGCACATTAAAGTGTGCACGTCTGCACGCACCAGCACATGTTCACGCTTTGCCGCCCATTCATGCATGCTCAACCTCAGAACTGGATGATTGCTGGGTGATCTTCAGCTACCCGTGGATCTTGTTCCTGTGTTTCCTGGTTTTCCAGCTTCGAGACTACCCATTGCTGACTTGGCTTGTCCCTGGACATCTCCTTGACTCTTACTTGATCGTGACCTTGGCTTGCTGATTGACCTTCCGTGTATGATCTGGCTTGTCTCCAGACCCTGCCTATGCTGCCGGCTACCTACCTGTGTATGACCCAGGCCTGGCTCCTGACCACGTCTCCTTTTCCAGTCATCTGTGTATGATCCTGGCTGAGCTTCCAGATGACATCTCTTTCATCTACCCACATCAGGTTCTAAGTGCTCCGCCTTCTGGGTTCTACCCTGTAATGTCACACCACAAGTGCCGGGGACTGCCTACCACAGCTCCTTCCACAGGTGATTGAGGGACATCCTTCTGCTGCATCAGTCACTGTCTCTGCAGACCATCCCTACAGTCCATTATCTACTGTCCAGGACTGGCACCCAAGCATCCTTCCTTCCCTTCTTTCCTTCCTTCCTTTTTTCTTATTTTCTTTCTTTCCTTTCCTTTCCTCCTTCCTTCCCTCTTCCTTCCTTCCTTTCTTCCTTCCCTTTTCCTTCCTCCCTCCCTCCCTCCCCTTCTTTTCTTTTCTTCCCTCTCTCCTTTCCTTCCTTCTCTTCTCTCATTTCTTTTTTCTTTCCTTTCTTCCTTCCCTTCTTTCCTTTCTTTCCTGTGTTTTCTTTCCTTCCCTCCTTCCTTTTTCCTTCCTTCCTTTTTTTCTTCTTTTATTTCCTTCCTTCTTTTCTTCTTCTTTTCTTTCTTTTTCCATCCTTTCCTTTCCTTTCTTTTCCTTTTCCATTCCTTTCCTTGCTTTTTTTCTTTCTTTTCTTTCTTTCCTTCCCTCCTTTTTTTTTCCTTCCTTCCCTCTTCCTTCATTGCCTTTTCCTTCCTCCCTCCCTCCAATTCTTTTCTTTTTCTTTTCTTCCCTCTCTCCTTTCCTTTCTTCTCTCTCTCTCATTTCTTTTTTCTTTCCTTTCTTCCTTCCCTCCTTTCCTTTCTTTCCTGTGTTTTCTTTTTTCTTTCCTTCCCTCCTTCCTTCCTTCCCTTCTTTTTTTTCTTTTCCTGTGTTTTCTTTCCTTCCCTCCTTCCTTTTTCCTTCCTTCCTTTTTTTTCTTCTTTTATTTTCTTCCTTCTTTTTTTCTTCTTTTCTTTCTTTCCATCCTTTCCTTTCTTTTTTCCTTTTCCATTCCTTTCCTTGCTTTTTTTTTTTTCTTTTGTTTTCTTTCCTTCCTTCCCTCCTTTTTTTTCCTTCCTTCCCTCTTCCTTCCTTTTCCTTCCTCCCTCCCCTTCTTTTCTTTTTTCTTTCTTCCCTCTCTCCTTTCCTTCCTTCCCTTCTCTCATTTCTTTTTTCTTTCCTTTCTTCCTTCCCTTCTTTCTTTTCTTTCTTGTGTTTTCTTTTTTCTTTCCTTCCCTCCTTCCTTTTTCCTTCCCTTCTTTTTTTCTTCTTTTCTTTCTTTCCATCCTTTCCTTTCTTTTCCTTTTCCATTCCTTTCCTTGCTTTTTTTCCTTTCTTTTCTTTCCTTCCCTCCCTCTTCCTTCCTTGTCTTTTCCTTCCTTCCCCCCTCCCCTTTTCTTTTTTCTTTCCTTCCTTCTCTTCTTTCCTTCCTTCTCTCTCTTTCCTTTCTTTCCTTCCTTCTCTTCTTTCCTTTCTTTCCTTCCTTCTCTTCTTTCCTTTCTTTCATACCTTCCTTCCTTCCCTTCTTTACCTTCCTTTCCTTCCTTCCTTCTCTTCTTTACCTTCCTTTCCTTCCTTCCTTCCCCCATGATAACTCACCTAAGCCCCCCAATGGGGCTCCTCAAGGAATTGTAAAAAATAATATTTAAAAAAAACAAAAAAAAAAAAAAAACTACTGACACCAGCTGGGGAACTACCAGGGACACAAAAGTCACACTTGTAGGCCCTGGTGTTCCATCACTGGGTTCAGAAGGAAGGGCCCCAGCCGGGAGTCAGGGGGGGCCCTTCATGGTTTCTTGCACCAAGGCCCTAAAGGTTCTAGTTACGCCACTGCTTGCACCCTTGTTCCCACATTCAGGTGTGTTTGGACCAGAGCCCTCTCGTCACTTGGGCCTCCACCCAGGTACTACATGTGACAAGTCATCCTAGAGTCATAATTCATGGCTGATAACCTGCAAAGGCTTTCCAAGCATCACTTATGGACAATTTCGGCCACCAGAGTGTTTTGCAATATTATTGGCATGTGCAATTTTAAGGTGTGACATGTTTGGTATCCGTTTGTTCGATGTTATGTCATCTTATATACTAGCAAACAACTGAGCATAATGTGTTTGCTTGCACTAAAATGACTTTAATGTCTTTCTTCCTAAAAATAAGTGTTTGATAAACAACTGAGCAAATATTGTACCGCATAAAAAAAATTGCAACTGCCACCATTTTATTATCCAGTGGCCTCTGTGTTCAGAAAATACATGATTGTTTGAGGGTTCAGAGTAATTTCTAGCAGAAAATGCAGATTTTTTTTAAACCTGTGTATGAAAAATAAAAAAAATTGCAGCGGTAGGCAAGCAGTTAAGCCCCTCTCACCTCCAGTTTGGCGAATAGCGGCAGTTCGAAAAACTTCTGCACCCAGAGTTCAAAGTTGAGGCCGAAGCAGTTGCATATGGACCAGATGTAGACAATGTCACAGGGGCCCAGCCACAGCGTGGTCACCAGGAACGTAGACACAGTGGCCACCAGCTCCTTCTTGATGTTGTTGTGGCCCTCACCGAGGAAATCATAAACGTACCTGAGCAAAAAGGACGGGGGGGGGGGAAAAGAACTATTATAATGTGATAGTATGTAATCATAAAACCCTCACCATGGCAGTAACAACAGGAATTGTTTGCAAGCACAGCTCCAGGTGAACGCTCAACCCAAATAATTATATTGCAGATAACTTCTCCTCTTGTTTTAGGTCAGTTTTGTGATCCCAACGATTCTGCTAGTCATCCCAGCCAGGTGACCCCAGTTTTCTCTGCTGCTGTTACCCCTTGTCATGTTTCACATGACTGTCCTATGCCTTTAAGTGTTCTTTGTATTTTGTCTCTGCTCCTCCCTTTCCTCTGGTTTAGTTCATGCTGTATAGTAAGCCCCACCCCTTTTCCCAGTAATGCATTGCAGCTTCTAGCCTCATGTCATGAAGCAGATCACATTATGATCTTTTGACCTATCGAATGTTCATTGTTGTAAGATTCTCTCAGTTTATGGAATAAACTTCACAAGATCTACAAGATGTCATCTGGATCGAGTCACTGCCTGTGATATTCAACTAAGATTGGAGTTATCGCTATCTCATCACAATTGTAAGTTACAGAGATCACACTTTCAATGCTTAGATTAGAGCAGTGTTTCTCAACTCCAGTCCTCATGGACCCCCAACAGGTCATGTTTTCAGGATTTCCCTCAGATGAAACAGCTGTGGTAATTACTAAGGCAGTGAAACTGATCAAATCACCTGTGCAAGATAATGGAAATCCTGAAAACATGACCTGTTGGGGGTCCATGAGGACTGGAGTTGAGAAACACTGGATTAGAGAAACAGAACATCTCTAGGTTCACATCTGTGCGGGTGGTGCCGCTGCGGATCCGCGCGAAAATACGTGCATCCGCACCACCCGCACAGAGAATTGCTGACCCGCGGGCGGCTACCATGAGTTCTAATGGCATGTCGCCCGCACTGGAAAACGCAACCGTACTGGGAACCTCGGCTGCGTTTTCCAAAGAAGTGTAGGGACTTCTTCTCTGCGTGTCACGGGCACGGGAGTCCATTCAAATGAATGGGCTCTCGTGCCCGTGTAAAATGCGGCCCGCACAGCCGCATAGATGTGAACCGGGGGTTAAGGTGGAACTACACTGTATCTGAGCACCACAAACCAAAAATGCTTCTGAATTCATTTTTAATATTCAAAGCCAGGGGCGGACTGACAACTCATGGGGTCCCCGGGCAATAGAGGATCATGGGGCCCCTGTGTCCTTGCCCACACTCAAAGCACACCCAAAAATGCCTACAAAAGGTACCAGGGGCATTTCATGGGGCCCCCTACTGACCCCAGGCCCTCGGGCAGTGCCCGAGTGCTCGAATGGTCAGTCTGCCCCTGTTCAAAGCAAATTTCCCCATCCATCCATGTCTCCTTGCTTTATTTTGCTGAGAAATCACTTTGAACCCTCCCCCACCCTAGCATTTCTAGCCTCAGCCATCTTGAGTAAGGTCAGAGGATTCACGTAGCATTTACTTCCTATATTCCATCTGCCTTTAGCTCAGGCATGCAGTCAGGAGGTTGTGCTGCTTAGCTGACAGAGCTCCTACTCTCCTGAAGACTCCTGAGATGTATGACATCCTTTTGGCCTAGGCCAGAAACCAGGAAGTAACTGAAGAAATGTAAGAAAAGTTTAAAACAAATATGATATACTTTCCTATCTGCTATTCCTATTTACCAAATTACTTCTACTTCATATTTTCTAATGCAGTCACCATAAGTGGGCAGCACAGGGGCTAAATGGTTAGCACTTCCACCTGTCAGTACTCGGGTCATTCGTTCGAATCCCAGCCACGGCACCACCTGCCTGGAGTTTGCATGTTCTCCCTGTACACCCGCTGGGCCCATTATGAGGAGTTCCCACCATATCTGCTGGGTTTTTATTTATTTTCTACAATGGAGAATGTAACAGGAAGAGATAGGACACACAAGGTTGGGCAGAAACATCTCAGACTCCCAGGGTGACAGGAACAGAACAGGAATTATGACCGGGGATTCTCACTGCTGATGGATCCAAGACCAGGGGTGAGAAAAAGTGGAAAAGTTTGTCAACATTTCACTGTCTCACCAATATGCATTGAAGTCAATGGGGAGGACACAATGACATTGATTTTGAAATGTCTGGTAGACAGAATCACAATATCCGCTGTGATCCTGGAATAGCAGTCACCCCGATGGTACTCACTTGCACAGCCAGTCATTAATTCCTCGGTCGAAGTGCCTGAAACAGCAGAAAGAACCATCAAGACTCATGGATTAGACGTATGGGGGAGCACTGACTGTAAAAAATACTGTAACAATGTTTCCAGTGAGAGTACACGCAGGATACATGCATTGTATGTGACACAAAACAAATGTTATTAGACCGCGTCCTGTGCTGCTTGAATGTATTTCATTGATTTACAAACTTGCTGACCTGCCACAGTACATATACTGCCACCTACTGGCACAGCGACATATCTATATGTCTCTGCTTGTTTCTGGTTTTCGGACGCACCCACCCGTGTGATTTGACTCAGCGGGAGTTTGTCAGCAGATCCCGGCCAATGATTCACAGCTGGGACCTGCGTCCAATCACAGCCTAGAGCCCTGTGTTGACAAACAACACAGAGCTCTGCACAGCAAGAACGATCTAGGATCTTTTTTTCTATTATTTTGTTTAGATATGTTTAATAGCAGAAAGTAACAAATATTGTTTTTTTTTTCCCAAAATTTTTGGTCTTTTTTTCGTTTATATACAATAACAAATAAAAAACCCCAGTGGTGATCAAATACCACCAAAAGAAAGCTCTATTTGCATGAAAAAAATGATATAAATTTAATTTGGGTACAGTGAGGTATGACCGCGAAATTGCCAATTACAGTAGCACAGTGCCGAATAGCAAAAAATGGCCTGGTCATGAAGGGGGTAAAATCTTCCTGGAGGTCAAGCGGTTAAAACAGGAAAAAAAAATGTATTTGGCCATTAGATGGTGCTAAGTATCATAGGAAAATAGTGTTACACTTACTCCATCTAGTGGCCAAAATGCAGTATTTTCCATTTTAAATCAATGAATAACATTTGAAACAGCACAGGAAATTGCCTGATAGCATTTATGTTTGCCTGTGCATGCACTTTCAATGGGTGAACTATTATACATTAAAAAAAAAAAAAAAAAATAAACCCTATAAACTTTCAGAAGGAAAAGAAAAAGAGAACACGTCCAACAATGTTTTTAGAATGTATTCTATCCTCCAAATCCCTCTCTCCCCCTTCCTTCCCCTACCTTCTCTTCCTCCACTTCATCGCTTAATCTATCATGTATACCTTTAGTTTCTGCATTATCCTCATCCTGTGCTGTATCTGTAGAGTTATGCATCCGATTTTTGGCTAAAATGTCTAGCGAGCCCTAACACACTCTTTGATTTATAATTTTTTTTTGTTTTTTTTTTTTTGAAGAATTGTATTGCAATACTATGTATGTATATCTTAAAATATTTGGCTAAAATGTCTAGCGAGCCCTCACACACTTTTTGATTTGTAGTTTTTTTTTTTTTTTTAAGAATTGTATTGCAATACTATGTATGCATGACGTAAAATCAATAAAAAAAAAAACCGAATACAAAAAAATAAAATGCAATATATAATCGTTCATTCTGTGCACCAATTTAGCTGAGCCATGAATTAAAAATGTGATCAAGTTGAAGGCTCCATGCACACGGGGCATTTTAATAATGCTGGTAACATTAGCTGTGTAAAGCCACATTAAGCTTTTAGCCACTTTTTTTCACGTTTGCATTTTTTAGAGTTTTATTGGACTAAAAAAAAATTTTTTTGGTAAAAAAAAAGTCCAAAAATTATTTTTTTTAGCGTTTTTGTATTAGTGTTTAGCCATTTTTCCATGTTTGCGTTTTTTAGAGTTTTATATTGGACCAAAAAAAATTTTTTGGGGGTCAAAAAAAGTCCAAAAACGATTTACAGTGTTTTTCCGCTTTTTTCAGCGTTAGAGCGTTTTTAAAACTCCTCTAAAAACCCACAAGTTCTGGGGGGGTTTTTTCCAGCCAAAAAACATTGATTCCAATCTATGTGTGTATGGACACACAGGATAACATGCCGGGGATGGACACATAGGATAACATGCTGGGGATGGACACATAGGATAACATGCTGGGGATGGACACACAGGATAACATGCCGGGGATGGACACATAGGATAACACGCCGGGGGATGGACACATAGGATAACACGCCGGGGATGGACACATAGGAGAACATGCCGGGGATGGGACACATAGGATAACACGCCGGGGATGGACACATAGGATAACACGCCGGGGATGGACACATAGGATAACACGCCGGGGATGGACACATAGGATAACATGCTGGGGGATGGACACATAGGATAACACGCCGGGGATGGACACATAGGATAACACGCCGGGATGGACACATAGGATAACATGCCGGGGATGGACACATAGGATAACACGCCGGGATGGACACATAGGAGAACATGCGGGGATGGACACATAGGATAACATGCTGGGGATGGACACATAGGATAACACGCCGGGGGATGGACACATAGGATAACACACGCCGGGGATGGACACATAGGATAACATGCTGGGGATGGACACACAGGAGAACATGCCGGGGATGGACACGTAGGATAACACGCCGGGGATGGACTCGTAGGATAACACGCCGGGGATGGACACATAGGATAACACGTCGGGGATGGACACGTAGGATAACACGCCGGGGATGGACTCGTAGGATAACACGCCGGGGATGGACACGTAGGATAACACGCCGGGGATGGACACGTAGGATAACACGCCGGGGATGGACACATAGGATAACACGCCGGGGATGGACTCGTAGGATAACACGCCGGGGATGGACACGTAGGATAACATGCCGGGGATGGACACATAGGATAACATGCCGGGGATGGATGGACACATAGGATAACATGCTGGGGATGGACACATAGGATAACATGCTGGGGATGGACACATAGGATAACATGCCGGGGATGGACACATAGGAGAACACGCCGGGGATGGACACGTAGGAGAACATGCCGGGGATGGACACATAGGATAACATGCTGGGGATGGACACATAGGATAACATGCCGGGGATGGACACATAGGATAACATGCCGGGGATGGACACGTAGGATAACATGCCGGGGATGGACACGTAGGATAACATGCCGGGGATGGACACGTAGGATAACATGCCGGGGATGGACACATAGGATAACATGCCGGGGATGGACACGTAGGATAACATGCCGGGGATGGACACATAGGATAACATGCTGGGGATGGACACATAGGATAACATGCCGGGGATGGACACATAGGATAACATGCTGGGGATGGACACATAGGATAACATGCTGGGGATGGACACATAGGATAACATGCTGGGGATGGACACATAGGATAACATGCTGGGGATGGACACATAGGATAACATGCTGGGGATGGACACATAGGAGAACATGCCGGGGATGGACACATAGGATAACATGCTGGGGATGGACACATAGGATAACATGCTGGGGATGGACACATAGGATAACATGCTGGGGGGTTTATTAGCTGTAGAAAAAAACGTCAAAAGCCAAAAACAGCCGCTGTAAAAAACGTACAGTGTGCATGAGGACTAAAGAGGATCTTACATAGTTAGTCTGGCTGAAAAAAAAATAAAAGTCCATCCAGTTCAACCATTAAAAAAAAAGTTACAATCCTACACCCACAGTTGATCCAGAGGAAGGCAAAAAAAACCCCAGCAAAGCACGATCCAATATGCTCCTGCAGGGAAAAAAATCCTTCCTGATCTTGCATGAAACCCCCCACCTCCATGTAAAAACAAAGCCAAATCTAAGGCAAAAAATAAATAAAAAAGGGGAGGGGGGGTTAAGAGATTTCCACCTTGAACCATGGCCTCCAATCCTCTCTACCCCCAGGCACCAATTTATTTATCTATTGGCTATTTCCCTCTAGCGTTCTCTAGAAGTTGTATATTGTATCCCTTACTCCAAAGACAAGTTTCCTATGCTCCTCATCGCCATCTAGTGGCAATAATGCAGTATTTTCCTTCTGGTCATAGGAGAAAATAGCCTAAAGACCATTTATTTTTGCCCAATTTGCACAGAAGGAAGGCACCTTCACTGGATGAATGGATTTATTCTTTTAATAACTAGACCCCTTTTTTTACATGGGACAGGGGGCTAACTATGAGCTGCAGGGTCCTGGTGTGAAATTTAAATACAACTTTAACGCACAAGGAATGGAGTGAACATTCTTAGAGCCCTCTCCTGACCGTATGGGCCCTGCGACACCTTCTGTGGTGACACCCGGGGCACTGATGTCAGCACTGCGTTGACTTACGTTTCAGCAAAGACGTAAAGCATGGTGATACATTTGGGGGGCTGCGGTGGGTCCAAGTGGTCCAGTCTGGAGATGGTATTTATCACCCCGAACATCACAGCTGCTTTCACCCAGTCATATACCAGGTTGGAGTACGCCAAACCCGCTACAGAGGGGAAAAAAAGCAACATTTTTATACACTGTGAGGGCCAGTCAGTGTATAATGTTAATATTAAGGAGTTATAAAATGATAAAAAAAATACAGAATATTTATATATATATATATATATATATATATATATACACAATAAATCTATAAATAAAAATAATAATAATTAAAAAAAACATAGTAACTGAAAAAAAACAAAAACAAAACTCATTTATAATATATTAATATATATATATATATATATATATGAGTGTATATATATATATATATATATATATATATATATATACATATGCATACACACTGCATGTTGAAATGCATTTTTATTACATAATATATGACAAATATTTTTAAAAATACATTTCAAGTATACTGCATGTCTTTAAAAATACAAATCTACATTTTTGGAATGCATTTACAAATATATGTAAAAATGACTTTTTTATATGTTAAAAAAAATCTGAAGAATATATTTTTAAAAATATATGTCAATATATTTGGGAATAATATTTTTTTTATCTTCCATATGGGATGCAAGGTCAAATTCCACAACCTACACTGCTTTGTTCATTAATACAGAGCTGCATTGATTTGTGTCTTGTATATTTGCCCGCAGTTCTGCTCTAAAGCCCAACTGCAGGCTCTGTGCTTCCCTCCACCCCGGGAGGCCCCTGCCCCTTTTTCTTCTGGCTGGTGCCATGATGCGCTGGGTCCTACCATCTTCGGTCCTTCCCTGGCAGTGGGCAATCCTCCACTCCCCCCCCCCCCCCCCCCCCCCCCCCCCCCCCCCCCCCCCCCCCCCCCCCCCTGGACTCAATGATGTGTGTAGGATACCATAAACGAGAGGGGAAGCCATGACCAGGGCTGCTGTTAGAAACCATGGGGCCCCTTACAGCCAACCTGAAAGGGCCCCCCAAAACCACAGGGCCCCATACAGCCAACCTAACAAGGCCTCCCCCATCCTCACAAAAAAACCCCACAGTTCACTAGGCTTCAGTTATGAATGAACACCGTGAGTAATCGGTACCAATCATTCATTGTGTTCATTGAGGAACGAAAGGGGCTGGTAAATTACTGGAACCGGTCCCCTGTATATTTCTCTCTGCAGCAGCTGAAAGCCAGCCAGGGGGAGGAGACGAAGCCGGCTTTCAGCTGCTGCAGGGAGAGCCATACAAGAGATTGGTTCCAGTAACTGCCCCGTTCACCCATCCTGTCTACATCTGATGCACCCAGCTGCCTTGGCCCCCCTGCAGGCCATACAAGAGGAATGGTGGTACCCCCTTATCCACGGCCCTGGCCATGACACCCTGCACTCACAGTCCTTCCTCAGTCTTCTTGGCTGAGTCACACTGGGCATGATTCAACCTGGAAGACTAAGGACATCTAGTGGCGGAAAAGTGGTACTGCGCAGATAATTGGAGAGAATGGCTTTTAGAAAATGAAGACATAAAAATGATGGGGGGGGGGGGGTATGTTTCACCTCTTGCCATCTATGAAACAAAGAAGGTGGGCTTTAATGACCATGCCTCACACATACACGTCCATGGGTGGCAGAGCCTTCCATGCTTAGCGCGCGCTCCAGGCACAGGGGCAGAGCTGTCAAAGACAGCTTTCTGTCTCTGCCCAGTATCCTTAGCCAGCAGGACAGGCTCCTGATCATGTGACCCCCTACAATAGCCAATCACAGTGGTCGCATGATTGCCCGATCCTTCCCACCCCCAGACCCTGTTAAAGGGATGCTGGAGATGCCCGGTAAGGGGTTAAAAAAATACGCCTGGTGTTGAGTTTGAGGCTGCTTTACTGGCCAAATGCTTGCGTTAGGTCTAGGGACCCGGCTGACCATTTAGGCACTCGGGCACTGGGGTCAGTAGGGGGCCCCATGAGATGCCCCTGGTACCTTTCATAGGCTTTTTTAGGTGTGGATTGAGTGTTGGCGAAGACACAGGGGCCCCATGATTTCCTATTGCCCTGGGGCCCCATGAGTTGTCAGCCCGCCCCTGGTTTAGGTCAGTGCGTATTGTTTGGAACCCACTGAAATGTCATAACAGCCAGGAAACTAGCATTTTCTAGAAGGAGGTCCATCAGCTGGAGCTGGCAGCTAAATAAAGGGGTTTACTGAGAAGGAATTCATCAACACGCACACTCCGCTCCTCACAAGACCTCCTTCTCTCTAGTTTCCCTGGTCTCCTCCTCCCATGCCCGCCTCCAGGACTTCTCCAGGGTGTCACCCATCCTCTGGAACTCCCTGCCCCAACCCATCAGATTATCACCTACTCTCCTCTCCTTTAGGCGCACCCTGAAAACCCATCTCTTCAGGGAAGCCTACCCCACCCCCTGCCAACTTGCCGACCTCCCCACTCTTCCTACCACTCCATCCCCCACAGCTATCTCCTCCTGTACCACCATCCCCTCCCTCCTAGATTGTAAGCTCCAAGGAGCAGGGCCCTCGATCCCCTCATGTTTGCATTGTATTGGTATTGTTCTGTCACATGTTCTGTCCCCCTTTGTAATGTACAGCGCTGAGCGAACTATTGGCGCTTTATAAATACTGTATAATAATAATAATAATAATAACTGCAGCCCTGGCTGACTCCAGAGAGAAGGAAGAAACATGTTACCATTTAGGTGACAAGAAGGGATACGTTACCCAGAGACCAATCTGACAACTTCTTCACAAACTTCAGGTCGGAGGGCATGCTGAGAATGTACAGGAAGTGGAAGAAAACGTCCACCAGAAGTATGACCAGCACGTGGACCAAGGCCTGGACACGAATGTTCCACATCTCGTTCTCTTTGCGGGTCAGCGACCGGGAATTCACCTGTGACACGAGCAACCCAACACAAGCAACTCAACGTCAGATTATAGACCTGAGACTCCAGCAATTCAGCAATCTCTAAATCATTTTAGCCCGGGTTCACACTGACGCTGTGCGGAATTCGCAGCGTTTTCAGAATCGCACCCCATTCATGCGAACCGCTGCGGGGGTGTATGTTAAATTAACCCCTTCCCGCTGGCGCCTCCGGCCCTTTAAGAGTTTCAAATGCCGGGAGGCAGGGCGGGTGGGGCGTGGTTTAGGAATCATGTGACCGCCGTGACGTGTCATCACGGCGGTCACATGATCGGGAAAGGTCCCGATCGAAAGAGCAGACCGGGACCTTTCCATGAGTACCGGACACATGTGCTGGGGAGCGCGCAGGGCGCGCGCTCTCAGCACATATGTTTTTTCTTACATGAACGCAAATGTTGCGGCGCTCGGTGTCTAGGCCCATTTGTGTGCGGCTGGCGTAAAGGGGTTAATAACACCCCGAAATCTGCATTTATCTAATATGCTACCTTAAACATAAATCTCCCAAAAAGCGAAAAAAGCAATAAATATAAAAAAATTGTCCAAAATAAAGCAATAGTGTCCCAAATAAAGTCAATATACAAAAATCACACACTTGTGTCCTCAAAAAATTATAATTATAAATAGTGATTCCAATTCTATATCTAAATCACTATTTATGATTTGAATTTTTTGAGGAAGTGTGTGATTTTTTGTATATTGACTTTATTTGGGACACTATTGCTTTATTTTGGCAATTTTTTTAATATTTATTGTTTTTTTCACTTTTTGGGAGATATTGAAGGTACACTTTCACTTTCCAGGGTGAAGGTGAGACTTTATGCTACAGGGTATGATATATTTTTTTAGGGTGTTACTGTAATTATATGTTTACTTTAACACCCCAAAATCAGTCCGCAAAATGAGGTGCGATGTGCAGAATCGGATCGCATAGGTGTGAATACCCGTGCGATCCGATTCTAGTGAGGACCCAAAAAAAGGGTCCTACACGTTTTTGGTGCAGGTGCGGTGCGATTAGAGCCATACAAAATGTACGACTCCGACCGCACCGCGCACAAATCGCATGTGATTGGCACAGGAATGCGGTGTAGTTCCTGCGCGAATCACATGCGATATACCGCACCGCATATATGTGATCCCGGGCTGATACTCATGCATGCGATGCATACTAGTACATTATAACATTGTTTTTCAGGGTGACATTTTTTATTATTATTTTTAATTTTTTTTTATTTTACTTTAATACCCCTTTAATTATCATACAGATGCATTAATTTGTGTCTTTTATTTCTACCTGGAGTTCAGCTTTAAAGCCCAAGTGATTACAGCATGTTTTAAAAAGGTAAGTCCACCTTTCTGACCGTGTGTGACGGGAGTCACTTTGGGTGGGGGCCCATGGAACACAGCTCACTTTGGAGAGGTGGGGAGACCCTTGTCTCAGCTCCCCATATCCCTATTATGTGTAAGTCACCCTTTGCCTGTTAGGGGTACAGGGTGATCTGTCCTAATATTGGGGGTGGGGGGTTGTTGATTGTTTAATGCCATGTGGTTGCATCCCAATGTCTGTCTTGCTTGGGAGCCAACTATTATGGGATGTATGTGTTTAAGTGTATTAGCTTAGTGGAGGGGTGTCTCCAGCAGCCCTCCCTCCTGATGGGACTGTCTGCTGTGTGAAGTTTGAATACCTGTGTGTCTCTTGTTGCTAAGTGTAGATTGCCCCACCCTGTGTCATTATGCAGGGAGGGGGGATTGCCCCCTGAGTGTGTAAAAAGCCAGTTCGGGTTTCAAATAAAGAGTTCCATGTTCAGATAGACTGGTGTCGTCTAGTCTTGTATGGTCGGCTGTGGTGTCTGTGTTCAGACCGGGAAGAGGTAGTCTCATGGAAGTACCCAAACGCGGACTGGGTCGGTTCCGTTACACCGTGTTTCCATGGCAGAGGGGCTCGTGGTTCTCAATGAAGCACAAGTTCGGTGATTTTCTCACATTTATAGTCCATGGGTACCTCTTCCAGCCCCAGGACTGAAGGTCCATACCCCAGCACAAACCCGAGGCTGGAGGAACCAGAGCCAATGTTGCACCTGCACTCCACTGATGGTGGTTGCAACGCTTTGCAGGCTCCAAGGAAAAAAATAATAAATGCACTTTTATTAATCAATGTGGGTGCAGTTAATATTTTTTTTCTTTGCAAAAGATGGACTTAATGTCGATTGCAATCCTTTCACTGCCACCCTTCAAACAAATAAAAAGTAAAAAAGATAAAACATAAAGGCATACCCAACCACTTAAAAAAAATTGTGACAGCCCCCCCCCCCCCCCACACACACACACACGCATATACATAAGTAAACACATACCTTGGGGCCGCTTACTGAAAATGGCGATTGTGGTCCACATGTTACACATCGCCACGCATGCTGTAGTGAGCAATAATTCTAGGACCATTATTCACGGCTATCTTTAAAATGCAGACCAGTAAGAACTCCTAAATTGTCGCCTATTGAAAATTTTTAAAAGTAATGACATGCTTGGTATCTATTTACTTGGCACAACCTCATCCAAAAAACGGGTAATATATTGCAATAGAAATTAAAGTGTTTATAAATCTCAGACATGAAATATGAACAAAGCATATCCCTCTATAGAGTGTACTTGTCTCAATCCAGAGCACTAAGTGTCATTTCTGTCTGCCGCCTCCTTCCTCTGCTATCAGCTTGAGTTACTTCTGACAAGTTTTCTTGACACCAAGAGAAAAATGGTGACAGAGGAGGTTGATAGCCTCAGCTCTGTTCCTGTGAACTGTGTGAACGGGGGTGTGTCTCTTCCTTCCAATCAGCTCTCAGAGCTCTCCTCACTGAGCTATGCAGATTGTAACTTCAGCTCTCCGCCCTTTTTTTTTTTCTAACAGCTCAGACAAGCTTTTATAAATTCTGGACTTGTGGACAAATGCAGAGAGGAGAGTTCTGCAGATAAACAGGTACAACGTATGTAGGAGGATTTGTTTGATCTGTGTGTATCATCTGAGGACAGTCACCTTGTGACAGGAGTCACTTTGGGTGGGGGGCCCATGGAACCCAGCTCACTTTGGAGAGGTGGGGAAACCTCTGTCTCAGCTCCCCATATCCCTCTTATGTGTAAGTCACCCTGTGCCTGTTAGGGTTACAGGGTGATCTGTCCTAATATTGTGTAGACATGTCTAGGTGGGGTTTGTTCATTGTTTAATGCCATTGTTCTATTGTGTGTCTTGCTTGGGAGCAAACTATTATGTATGTATGTATGTATGTATGTATGTATGTATGGGGTGTGGGGTTGTTCATTGTTTAATGCCATTGTTCTATTGTGTGTCTTGCTTGGGAGCAAACTATTATGGGATGTATGGGTTTGTGTATTGGCTTGGTGGGGGGTGTCTGCTGGTGTGTCTCTTGTTGCTAGATGTGGTTTGCCCCGCCCTGTGTCATTATGCAGGGAGGGGGGAGTTGTTCCCTGAATGTATATATCTTGTATCTGTGTTAAAATAAAGTAGCCTATTTCCTGATTTATTTCAAGACTGGTGTCGTCTAGTCTTGTATGGTCAGCGGTGGTGTCCGTGGTCAGTGTTCGGACGGGGAAGCGGTATTATAATAGAAATACCCAAGCGCAGACTGGGTCAGGTTCCATTACACACCTCATTGGGTATATAGAAGGGTTTACAACCACTTTAACTTTAGTGTATTTTTTTACTGTTATGCTAATATTGAAGACATAAAAAAATGGGAATTGCCATCATTTATTCTCCAAGGTGTCGTCTTTCAGTAAATATGTAATGTTTGGGGGGGTTTTAAACTAAGCTTCAGGCCTACAATTATTACAAAATGGCTATGGCAGTGAAAAGGTTAAAACACCAGCGTCCTCACATACGACTGGACTGCACAGGAAGATTAGGGGAGTGTTAAAAACTGATAGGGGGAGTGTCCCACAATTTCAGTTACTGAGTGCTGATTACTGATTGCACTAAATCCAGTGTCTATGGGATTGCCCAGTCATAGTTAGACTTCCTGCTCTTACCTTTAAAAGTGGAGAGAAGACTATGAAAATTAAGTTGTCAATTCAAAATGTGGGTATAGGATGAAGGATTACCCTTCCCCCCCCTGAGCATTTGCAGTCTTTATTCCAGAAATGTAATACTACTACAGACTTGTCTCTCATGTATTACTTGATGTTTTTATGTATTGATATCCTCCCCCCAATAAATGAAAAGTGTTCGGCTGTTCGGAAACTATAGATTCCATCCTATCTGCTGCCTGAGCTCAGTGCTGAGATAACAGACACTGAACAATCTATCGCTAAGAAGAGGCGCCGTCAGGAAACATAGAAAACTAAAGGCTTTGTTAGTGAAAGCCAGGACACAGTGTCAGACAGGGGACAGGACCTCCAGCTTCACCATAGGACTTCCATTATGTTCTGACAGGGAGAAAATACGAGAAAATAACAGCACACACACCGAGGGGTAAGGCTGTCCTGTTATAAGAACTTATAACTGGAGATTCAGATTGTTACAAATGCCCGGTCCCGGTTTAACACACATTGAGGAACTAGATGGGGCAGGTGTAATGGTCCTGAGACTCACCTGCTGGTAGAACTGGTCAAAGGTCATAATTGGCCCAAAGAAGAAGAATGGGAGGTAGAAGTTGTACTTGAGAAGGTCGATTGGGGAGTAGAATCCTTCTTTTCTTTCACACGTCTCTAGCGCAAAGCTCATACAACGCAAGATGCTAAATCCAGCACCGCCATAGAAGAGGATGTCTTGTAGACTGAACGATCCCGGAATAAAACCACTCTGGAGCCAAAGAACATAGAAGGACAGTCAGCCAATGTCTCCAAATCACCAAAGACTGGAATCAGTGATATCATGTACTGGGTAACCAAATAGATTTTAAGTGTAGTATACTTTTACATCCCAATCCTTCTTTACTTCTTTCCTACGACCCTCATTTCCACCCCCCATCTCTTTCCTTCCTCCCTACTCTTCCTTCATTTCTTTGTTTCTTTCTCACTCTTCACTTTTCTTCCTTCCAATCACAATTCTGCCTACCTTCCTTCCCTTCTTCCACCCTACATTCCTTCTTATCTTCCCCCTCCCTTCTGTCCTTCTCCCCCCCTTCCCTTTCACTTTCCTTCTTTGCTTCCTTCTTTCCATCTTACCTTACTTCCTTCTTTCCTTCCCTCCCTCTTCCTTCCTATCCTTCTTTTCTTCCTCTCTTTTCTTTACTTTTTGTACTTCCTTACCTTCTTTAACTCTTCATCTCCTTCCTATCCCCCTTCCTTCTCTCCCCCTCCTTCCTTCCCTTCTTCCTCCCTTCTTTTCTTCCTTCTCCCCTCTCTGATTTCCTACCTTCCTTCCCTTCTTCCACCTTACATTCTCTCTTTCTCTTCCCCCTCCCTTCTGTCCATTTTCCCCCCTCCCTTTCTCTTTAAATACTTTCTTCCTTCCTTCCCATTTTTTTCTTTCCTTCCCTCCCTCCTTCACTCCTTCCACTCTACCCCCTACTTTCCCCCCTCCTTCTTTTTCTCCTCCTTTTCCCCCTTCTTTTCCATCCTCCTACCCCCCTTTCTTCACTTCCACCCTTTCGCTCTCCCTCCCTCCATTCTTCCTTGTACCCTCTATTACATCACCCCCATCCCCCATCTTCCCTTCCCTCCTTCCCTTACATCCACCATTCCTTCCTTATTTCCCATGCCCTTCCTCAAACCCCATTCCTTCCCTTCCTCCCTCCCTCCCTCTCCCCCATCCTTCACATCCCTCCCTCATTCCTTCCTCCTTCCTCACTCCCTGCTCCCTCCCTCTACCTACCCAACTTTCCCCCCCCTAACTCTTTTTCCTCCTCCTTTCCCCTTCCTTCCTTTCCATTCTCACTTCCTTTCTTCCCTCACACCCTCTCTCCCCTCCCTCCCCACCTTTCTTCCTTGTACCCTCTATTCCATCATTCCCCCCCCCCCTCTCGTCCTCACCCTCTTCCCTTCCCCCCTCCTTCCTTACACCCACCATTCCTCCTCCTTATTTCCATTCCCTTCCTCACTCCCCTCATTCCTTCCCTTCCTCCCTCCCTCCTTCCTTCCCTCCCTCCCTCATTCCTTCTCTTCCTCCCTCCCTCCTTCCTTCCCTCCCTCCCTCCCTCCCTCAATCCTTCCCTTCCTCCCTCCCTCCTTCCTTCCCTCCCTCCCTCCCTCATTCCTTTCCTTCCTCCCTCCCTCCCTCCCCCCCTCCTTCCTTCCCTCCCTCCCTCATTAATTCCCTCTCTCCTTCCGTTCCCTCCCTCCTTCCTTCCTTCCCTCCCTCCCTCTTTCCTTCCCTTCCTCCCTCCCTCCCTCCCTCCCTCATTAATTCCCTCCCTCCTTCCTTCCCTCCCTCCTTCCTTCCCTCCCTCCCTCTTTCCTTCCCTTCCTCCCTCCTTCCCTCCCTCCTTCCTTCCCTCCCTCCCTCATTACTTCCCTCCCTCCTTCCTTCCCTCCCTCCTTCCTTCCCTCCCTCCCTCCTTCCTTCCCTCCCTCCTTCCTTCCCTCTCTCCCCTCCTTCCCTCTCTCCCTCCCTCCCTCCTTCCTTCCTTCCCTCTCTCCCTCCCTCCCTCCTTCCTTCCCTCTCTCCCTCCTCCCTTCCTTTCCTCGCTCATTCCCCTCCTCCTACCTTCCCTCTCTCCCTCCTTCCTTCCTTCCCTCTCTCCCTCCTTCCCTCTCTCCCTCCTTCCCTCTCGTCCCTCCTTCCTTCCTTCCCTCTCTCTCCCTCCATCCTTCCCTCCCTCCTTCCTTCCCTCTCTCCCTCCCTTCCTTCCCTCCCTCCCTCCTTCCTTCCCTCTCCTCCCTCCTTCCTTCCCTCCCTCCCTCCTTCCTTCCCTCTCTCCCTCCTTCCTTCCCTCCCTCCCTCCTTCCTTCCCTCTCTCCCTCCTTCCTTCCCTCCCTCCCTCCTTCCTTCCCTCTCTCCCTCCTTCCTTCCCTCCCTCCTTCCTTCCCTCTCTCCCTCCTTCCTTCCCTCCCTCCCGTCCTTCCTTCCCTCTCTCCTCCTTCCTTCCCTCCCTCCCTCCTTCCTTCCCCTCCCTCCCTCCTTCCTTCCCTCTCTCCCCTCCTTCCTTCCCTTGCTCCCGGCACGTTTTTCATTGTTATTACTGAATGACTTGAGTCTAAAGCTAAATAAAAAAACACAAAGAAACAGCAAGCGCTCTAGGATCAGATTAGAATCAGCTGCGAATGCACTAAAAAGAACCCTAAACCTTACACATAATCCAAACAGAAAACAGTGCAGAGCTGAAAAATTACAAAATGTTGGGAATCAGCATAAATATAAATAATAATAATAAAAAATAAAGAATAATAAAAATAATAAATTATAAATAAGAATAATAAAAAAATTATAAATGATAAAATAATAATATTAATAATACAAAATTATAAATAAAATGATTAAAAAAAATCATTATTTTTTATATAAATATATGTGGATGAAGCGCTGTGAATGGCGCAGTAAAAAGAAAAAGTGTGACTGTGAAAGTCTTAAAACAAGGAGTGTTCATGGGTTGGTGAAAGTGTGACACAATCGGGTCAGCATACAGTGTTGAAAACGGGTCCGGTTGTGCAGATGGTGTCAAATTATTTCAAGCGATGTTTCCGAGTGGTTTTATCCGTGCAGGAGATGAATAAAAATGCACACTCACCAGATGTGCATAATCAAAGCGCAATTTGTTGAACAGTGTACTACAACCGGGAATCAGCAGGAAGCCCCCTTTAAGCCGACCAGACAGACAGCGTGGGAAAGGATCCCTCCTCTGGGCATGAGACTCCTCTTGGTAGTGTGTATTGCTTTGCTTGTCTGTCCAGATTTTCCGTGTGGCGTGTGGTCATAATATGATCATAACATCATCACAGCTACAGAGACCACGACAGTCCTGGTGATGTCGTTCCAGAAGTAACAAGGACAACTCAGTTCCTCCCTACTAATCTTCCACTCGGCATTTCTTCTGTTCATCTGGTGTCTTCCGCTTCTTCCAGGGGTAGCGCCCTCTGCACTTCTCCCGGATTCCTCCGGCACCTCTCGCTAGAAGTCGGCCGCCCCCCCGGTGCGCTCAAATACGCCAGTGATTCAATGTAGGGGCTGCGCAGCGACACACGTAGACGCGCCTCATTTCCTGGGGTATGTGCACGCTGTTGCAGGAGGGTTTTGGGGGAAGGCAAGGGAATGTTATTCAGGGAGAAGAGCTGTGCCCCGGGATGACGGAGGAGATAGAGACTCTAAATATGACTCTATCTTCTCTCTTCACAGCTCTTCTGGACAGACAAGCAAAGCAACACACACACTACTAAGAGGAGTCTCATGCCTAGAGGAGGGATACTTACCCACGCTGTCTGTCTGGTCTGCTTAAAGGGGGCTTCCTGTTGATTCCCGGTTGTAGTACACCATTCAACAAATTGCGCTTTGATTATGCGCATCTGGTGAGTGTGCATTTTTATTAATCTCCCGCGTAGATAAAACCACGCGTAACATCGCTTGAAATAATTTGACACCATCTGCACAACAGGACCCGTTTTCAATACTGTATGCTGACCCGATTGTGTCACGCTTTCACCATCCTATGAACTCTCCTTGTTTTAAGACTTTCACAGTCGCACTTATTTTCTTTTTACTGTGCCATTCACAGCGCTTCATCCACATATATTTATATCACGAATAATGATTTATTTAAATTATCTTTATTATTTATAATTTTTTCTTATTATTATTAATAATTTATTATTATGTATAAATTATTATTATTTATAAATTTGTATTATTATTATTTATAATTTTTTCTTATTGTTATTTATTAGTATTATTAGTATTATTATTGATAATTTATTATTATTACTTATAATTTTTTATTATTATTATTATTTACCACCATTTTGTCAGTTTTCTGTTTGGATTGAATCTAAAGATGGCCATACACTAGTAGATTTTTAAACAAACATACAAAAATTCCTATTACATTCGATGACTTGACAAATGTCATTTGAAAGTAATGAAAACAGGGGCGGACTGACAACTCATGGGGCCCCCAGGCAATAGGGGATCATGGGGCCCCTGTGTCCTTGCCCAAACTCAAAAAAGCCTATGAAAAAGTTACCAGGGGCATCTTATGGGGCCCCCTACTGACCCTGGGCCCTCGGGCAGTGCCTGAGTTTCCAAATGGTCAGTCCGCCCCTGAATGCAAAATTCCGTCTGCTTTTAACGTTCAGTTTTGGAACGAAAGGACTTTACCGAACGAAAACCACATTCACTGTTAATAAAATGTTCATTCAATAAAAAAAAACTCCATCCTGCTCCTTCAAATTTTTTCTTCATTGCGGTCAAAATGAACTTCAATTCAACCCCAATAACAGTAATAAAATAAACAAATGTTCTTAACCCCTTCCCGACGGTGCCTCCCGGCCCTTTAAGAGTTTCGGGAGGCGGGTCGGGTGGGGCGTGGTTTAGGGATCATGTAACCGCCGTGACACGTCGTCATGGCAGTCACATGATCAGGAAAGGTCCCGATCGAAAGAGCAGACCAGGACCTGTCCGTGAGTACCGGACATGTGCGCAGGGCGCGCGCTCTCAGCACATATGTTTTTTTTTTTACCTGAACGCAAATGTGCGGCCGCTCGGCGTCTAGACACAGATGCCGGGAGGCCGCACATTTGTGTGCGGCCGGCGTAAGGGGGTTAAAATGAAAGATTTCTAACTTAATTCTACTGGGGTTTGGTCAGCTTGGCTGTCACTAGATGTTCACACACCCAGGGGCGGCGGACTGACCATTTGGAAACTCAGGCACTGTCAGTAGGGGGCCCCATGAGATGCCCCTGGTACCTTTTTCATAGGCTTTTTTGAGTTTGGGCAAGGACACAGGGGCCCCATGATCCCCAATTGCCTGGGGGCCCCATGAGTTGTCAGTCCGCCCCTGCACACACCTGACAGTTGCCAAGCCCATACATTATTTGACAATAGGCTACTTTTACAAAGCTAACACACCAGAATGAGGGGACATATTTTTTTTTTAAGTGACAGTTATTTTAGCCGATCTGAATGGAGTTTGAAAAGTGCCTGAAATAAAAAAAAATTTAAATTGTGATAAAAAGTCTAAATTGATCCTATAATGTAGAAAGATTTTGCAGAGACAAAGGCAGAGACAGCATGGAGCTGTCGGCAGGGGCGTATTTACCACAAGGCAAACGAGGCACTTGCCTAGGGCGGCATTTTTCAGGGGGGCAGTACCTTCTCCCAGAAGAAGGGATGAAAGAAGGGACACGCACACCATGGGAACCGGGTGGGATCAGAGAGAGGCTGCGGGCTGCTTGATGGTGTATGTAGAGCCTGACTCTCTTTCCTGGTGCTGTTCGGAGCTGTGAAGATGGGTGGGGAGGGTAGTGGAAGGCTCCCCCAGATGAGGGGCAGGGGTGTTGTTGGTCAATGTCAGGCTCTCTCTCCACGGGAGGGGGAGGGGGAAGGGGGGGTGTTGGTCAGTGTCTGTGATGGCAGATGAACCTAAATACACCACTGGCTGTCGGTGGGGGGGGATCCTATAGATAAATTATTTTGGATTTAGAGGACCGGGCTTAACTCATTCAATGTGATAGAAGAGTTTTCATAATCAATCACTGTCCCTAATTCCATCATCTCTGCCATAACCCAGAAAACATACTTGCCAGGAGTTGAACGGATCTATCTTGAAGGTCGCAAGGCTGCACAGGCCAGCGGTGAAGACCACCCATTTGTTTTTTACCAAGGAGACGGTATAGAGGAGGAGGCAGTGGGACAGGATGAGCATCAGATAATTAGTACCCATGATGGCGAGCACGGTCAGGATCCCGTACAGCATGTAGACCCAGGACCTGCGCTGTGAGGAGACAAAGTCCGTCATACAACAGAACAGAACCGATAATTAAACAAAGACTGATCATATGTTAACCTCCCTAGCGGTCTGATTATGTCCATATTTCTGTGCTCAAAGCGGTACATTTTTTTGCATGGAAATATGTATTTTTTTATTGTAGGTTGTAATTTTTAGGAATAACTCACTGAAATCTGTCCAAACAAGAGTCTAGTAAACATCCCGGGGATGATAAAATTTGAAGCACGAAAAAATAATAAAAAATAATATAATAATAAATGTAATTCAATAATGTAATCAAACCAAAAACACTGAAATGTGAAATATAGCGCCAAGTTCGCACATCGCTGAGCAAAGTCGCAGAATCGTTTTCAGTGTCTGATGAGGAATTTCCCCCACGAATCATTATCACTCAATTCTGCAAGTGGTTCTGATTTACTATCGCTGTTCTCTAGCCGGTCTAAAACCGCTTTTGACCTAAAGGGACGCTTTTTGGACGCCATGGACGTTTCTCAGTTTCCAGGCAGAAAGAACAGTAAAAATGCAGGCAGGGCGCCGGACAAAGCACTCGGGACAAAATGTATGTGAAATGGTTTGATACAGGAATGGTATACTATGTGATTTTAGTGTATTTAGTGAATGTCACTTTTTGTCATTTTTAAATTTCCCGCCAGTTCCGTCCCCCATACGTCCCGACGTCGCAGGGAACGGAACCCGGAAGACAGATGCTGGCATCCGCCGGAGGACATTGCCGGGGACACTGCAGGGGGGACATCGCGGGAGCGCAGGACAAGGTAAGTGCAGAAGAGATCCCGGAGCAACGCTGCAGTGTATTCCCGAGTGTAGCTCGGGGTTACCGCTTGTGGTGCTGAAACTTTACCCCGAGCTACACTCAGGAATACCGCCAGGGGGGTTAAGGGTTGGGTGACAAAAAACACTGTGAAGAGATTTCACTAAGCTTTAACACCAGAATAAGGATCTTGATTTTAGACGAGTGACAGTTAGTTTCAAGTCTCAATGGCTGAAAATAACTGTCAATTTTCTGGGAAATAAGTATCCTTATCCTGGTATTGTAGCTTTGTGAATTGAGCCTCCTGTCATCAACAAAAAATGCAGGTAAAATCACAGATAAATCAAGACTTTTCAGTGCTTATCCCTTTAACTTACCATTTTTTATGCATTGCAACATGCTTTTGGACTTACTAGGGAGGTCAACCCATCCAAGATGAGTCAATGAGCCCCCTCCCTTCTTGCACTTCATAGCCCTATTCTGTTCTGTTAGTGTCTGTGATGGCCCAGCTCCTTCATTCTCTCCTCACATCCCTACATACAGTAACAGGGCCAGATCTAGGGGGGTGCTGGGGTGGGCTGAGAGTGCATTCACTGACCCATGTGCCAGTCGGATAAAGACAGCTGAGATGTAGGGAGGCACTCTGATGGGGACAATCCATGCAAGGAGGCACTCTGATGGGGACACCTGATGCAAGGGGGCACTCTGATGGGGATACCCAATGTAAGCGGGCATTCTGATGGGGACACCTGATGTAAGGGTGCATTCTGATGGGTACACCTGATGTAAGGGGGCACTCTGATGGGGACACTCAATGTAAGAGGGCACCCTGATGGGGATACTCAATGTAAGTTGGCATTCTGATGGGGACACCTGATGTAAGGGGGTACTCTGATGGGGACACCTGCTGTAAGGGGGCACTCTGATGGGGACACCCGATGTAAGCGTGCACTCTGATGGGGACACCCAGTGTAAGTGGACATTCTGATCGGGACACCCAATGTAAGCGGGCATTCTGATGGGGGCACCAGATGTAAGGGAACACTCTGATGGTGACACACGATGTAAGTGTGCACTCTGATGGGGACACCCAATGTAATTGGGCATTCTGATGGGGACACCTGATGCAAGGGGGCACTCTGATGGGGGCACCTGATGTAATGCAGCACTCTGATGGAGACACACGATGTAAGTGTGTACTCTGATGGGGACACCCAATGTAAGAGGGCATTCTGATGGTGACACCTGATGTAAGGGGGCACTCTGATGGGGACACCGGATGTAAGGGGGCACTCTGATGGAGACACCGGATGTAAGGGGGCACTCTGATGGGGACACCTGATGTAAGAGGGCACTCGGATGGGGATAACTGATCATATGTAGGGGTACACTTTGATCGGGACACCTGATGTAAGGGGGCATTCTGATGGGGATAACTGTTCATATGTAAGGGGACATTCTGTTGGGAACAATTGATGTAAGGGGGCACTGTGATGGAGACTCTGATATAAGGGGGCACAGCTTCTGTTTAATTACCCTAATCTAATGACAGCCTTATACATACTAGTGTTTCCCAGCTCATGACATTGTATGACAGACGGTCAGACTGTCTCACACACAGTGTTGATATTATGCCCCCCTGACTTTTTTTTTATTGCACCCTCACATCAGATAGGCTATATCTGGCCCTACTAGATAACTTTTTCTGTAACTGAAACTCCAGTATCACAGAGCCCTGGCCTCAACCCTACTGAACACCATGGAAATGAATTGGAATGCCACTGTTGAGACAGGTCTTCTAATCCAACATCAGTACCTGACCTCAACCCTGCTGAACACCATGGAAATGAATTGGAATGTCAATGTTGAGACAGGTCTTCTCATTAAACATCAGTACCTGACCTCAACCTAACCAAACACCTTTGGGTTAAATTGGAAGGGAATTGTGAGTCGGATCTTCTCATCCAACATCAGTACCTGACCTCAACCTAACTAAACACTTTTGGGTTAAATTGGAAGGTGAATTGTGAGTTGGGTCTTCTCATCCAACATCAGTACCTGACCTCAACCCTACTGAACACCTTTGGGATGAATTGGAACACCAACTATGAGCCAGGTCTTCCCATCCAGTATCAATACCTGGCCTCTTTTGGTTGGATGGGTACAAATTCCTCCAGGCACCCTCCAAAATCTTATGGAAAGCCTTCCCAGAGGAGTGGAGGTTATTATAGTCACAAAAGGGATAGGGAGAGGGGGCAACTCCATACTAATGACCTTGGTTTTGGAATGGAATGTCCAATATATAGGTATGTTGTTCAACAAGAAAAATTTCAGTCATTTAGTGGAAAGATGTGCGTAAAATTTACTAGTTTCCGTTAAATGGTTTGACAGCATGCTGGAGAGGACGCACCTGTGGGATGAGAAGTGAGAAGATTTTGGCGAAGATCACGTGACCCGAGAGAGCGAATATGATGTAATTCCTGAACGTTGTGAACCACTCATCCCACTCGAAGTCTGCTGCATCCTGCAAGAGGACATTTTATTACTCCACAAACACTTGCCTAATGGCCGCAATGTGGCGCTGTGACATTTTTTTGATTTTAGTTTATCGACCCCGCTTACCATTTTCCTGCCAAAGTAATACCAGCCGGTCTTCACATTTTCCCTAAACGACTTGCGGTTCATGTTATCTACAAAATGTAAATCAAGGTAATAATGAAAATGTTTGCAAACTAATTGTATAAGCAGCAAAGTATCTCCAGATTTGAGAGGACACCAATGTAGCGCCTTGCCCTAGGCCTGCTAAATTTTGTTTTCGGCTCTGCTGTACTCAGCTGAACAGCAATTTATTTTTCAGGTGTGATGAGGTTCATCCCTAAACCTGGTGATTGATTGCTCCTGCCTGCCTCTGGAAGAAGCTTCCAGAAATAGAGTAGGAGGGTTAAAATCTGGGTTATGAATATACAGTCAGGTCCATAAATATTGGGACATGGACACAATTCTAACATTTTTGGCTCTATACACCACCACAATGGATTTGAAAAGAAACGAACAAGATGTGCTTTAACTGCAGACTGTCAGCTTTAATTTGAGGGTATTTACATCCAAATCAGGTGAATGGTGTAGGAATTACAACAGTTTTCACATGTGCCTCCCACTTGTTAAGGGACCAAAAGTAATGGGACAGAATAATAATCATAAATCAAACTTTCACTTTTTAATACTTGGTTACAAATCCTTTGCAGTCAATGACAGCCTGAAGTGTGGAACGCATAGACATCACCAGACGCTGGGTTTCATTTTAATTACCCTGGTGATGGTCTGCCAGGCCTCTACTGCAACTGTCTTCAGTTTCTGCTTGTTCTTGGGGCATTTTCCCTTCAGTTTTGTCTTCAGCAAGTGAAATGCTCAATCGGATTCAGGTCAGGTGATTGACTTGGCCATTGCATAACATTCCACTTCTTTCCCTTAAAAAAATCTTTGGTTGCTTTTGCAGTCTGCTTTGGGTCATTGTCCATCTGCACTGTGAAGCGTCCAATGAGTTGTGAAGCATTTGGCTGAATATGAGCAGATAATATTCCCGAAACACTTCAGAATTCATCCGGCTGCTTCTGTCAGCAGTCACATCATCAATAAATACAAGAGAAGCAGTTCCATTGGCAGCCATACATGCCCACGCCATGACACTACCACCACCATGCTTCACTGATGAGGTGGTATGCTTAGGATCATGAGCAGTTCCTTTCCTTCTCCATACTCTTCTCTTCCCATCACTCTGGTACAAGTTGATGTCGGTCTCATCTGTCCATGGGATGTTGTTCCAGAACTGTGAAGGCTTTTTTAGATGTTGTTTGGCAAACTCTAATCTGGCCTTCCTGTTTTTGAGGCTCACCAATGGTTTCCATCTTGTGGTGAACCCTCTGTATTCACTCTGGTGAAGTCTTCTCTTGATTGGTGACTTTGACACACATACACCTACCTCCTGGAGAGTGTTCTTGATCTGGCCAATGTTTGTGAAGGGTGTTTTCTTCACCAGGGAAAGAATTCTTCGCTCATCCACCACAGTTGTTTTTTGTGGTCTTCCGGGTCTTTTGGTGTTGCTGAGCTCACCGGTGCGTTCCTTCTTTTTAAGAATGTTCCAAACGGTTGTTTTGGCCACGCCTACTGTTTTTGCTATCTCTCTGATGGGTTTGTTTTGTTTTTTCAGCCTAATGATGGCTTGCTTCACTGATAGTGACAGCTCTTTGGATCTCATCTTGAGAGTTGACAGCAACAGATTCCAAATGCAAATAGCACACTTGAAATGAATCTGGACCTTTTATCTGCTCATTGTAATTGGGATAATGAGGGAATAACACACACCTGGCCATGGAACTGCTGAGAAGCCAATTGTCCATTACTTTCGGTTCCTTAACAAGTTGAAGGCACTTTTGCAAACTGTAGTAATTCCTACACCGTTCACCTGATTTGGATGTAAATACCCCTCAAATTAAAGCTGACAGTCTGCAGTTAAAGCACATCTTGTTTGTTTTGATTTCAAATCCATTGTGGTGGAATTGTGTCCATGTCCCAATATTTATGGACCTGACTATATGTGACCACAGCTAATCCCAGAAGGTGTGGCTGGAAATAAGAGGGTCTGGGTTTAGGAGGGTCTGACCAGAGATCTATCTTCTGGGGTCTCCCCCCGGGAGGCAGCCTGTGTGTTGCAGAAAAGCTATTAGACCTTTGCTTGGCTGAAGGCTATTGGGGAATCTGGACTTAACGAGATTTGCTGGAAGACTCTGCCTGTGGAAGCTGGGAAGGGAACCCTTTCACTGAAGGGTGTGTAGCAGGGTAGCTGGTGGTTGGGAGCTGTCTCTGCACATTGTAGGTAGGACCTTTCACCTAGAGCTCCAGGGGTGCTTCTACTTTGAGGGGTAGATGCCAGAGGATGCCACAAGGCCTGTCACTGCTCTTGCAGAGTCTCAGACTATCAGACTAGCTGACTGTTCCCTCTACTTCCACTTAAACCAGGGCTCCACCCAAAATTGGAAGTTCCACTTTAAGGCCTCCTGTTTGTGAAATGGAGCTTTTGGGGGGGGGGGGGGTGGGGGGGAGTGAATTCCTGGCATACCTGATTTTGCCAAGAAATCACTCCCGCTCTGACCTCATAAGCGATCAGAAGCGGAAGTTCCCCCCCCCCTGTAGTCTCCTGGGACATGTGATAGGTCCCAGAAGAATGTGGGACCTCTCCTGCATGTGCAATGGGCACCCGGCTGTAAAGCTGCAAGCTGTCACAACCGGGTGCCCATAGTAAAGCTGCTGGTGCTGGAGAGAGGACACAAAGTGGAAATGGCCGGACCAAGCAAAGCGCTGGATCCTGGGACAGGTAAGTAGCTGTTTATTAAATGTCAGCAGCTACAGTTTTTGTAGCTGTTGACTTTTTCATTTTTACACAGGAGACTGGAGCTCCACATTAGGGCCGCTACTGAAGGACTTTTGTTGAGAATTTGTCTGTGTGGGTATCCTGCACCCTTACCGCTCCACCCACCTGTGTTCAAGTACTGCAATAAATCTTTAAAAAATACCTCTAAACTGAGCCTACTTGTCGGTGTGCTTGTGGGATTGGGGCTGGCAGTCCCTGAGCAGGTAAGGGTGACCTGGGTTATTTCCAGCGGCCCCTCTGGGGGTAAGAGCTACACAAAGTAACACGTTATGTTACACATTAAGATGCAGAGTGCAGGGGTCAAAAGTATGTAACATACAGAGTGCAGGGGTTAAGATATGTAATATACAGCATGCAGGGGTCAGGAGTATGTTTCATACACAGTGCAGGGGGTTAGGAGTATGTAACATACAGAGTGCAGGAGCCAGAAGTATGTAACATGCAGAGTGCAGGGCAGGGTGTAAGGGGCCAGAAGTGTGTAACATACAAAGTGCAGGGGCCAAGGTATGTGACATACAGAGTGCAGGGGCCAGAAGTATGTAACATGCAGTGTGCAGGGCAAGGAGTGTGTAACATACAGGGGCCAGGAGTATGTAACATACAGAGTGCAGGGGCCAGGGTATGTGGCATACAGAGTACAGGGGCCAGAAGTATGTAACATACAGAGCGCAGGGGCCAAGAGTATGTAACATACAGTGTGCAGGGGTCAGGAGTATGTAACATACAGAGCACAAGGGTTAAGATTATGTAATATACAGCATGCAGGGGTCAGGAGTATGTTTTATACATAGTGCAGGGGTCAGGAGTGTATGTAACATACAGCTGGCATGGCTCAGGAATATGTAACATACAGAGTGCAGGGGCCAGGGTATATGACATACAAAGTACAGGGGACAGGGTATGTGACATACAGAGTACAGGGGCCAGAAGTATGTAACATACAGAGTTCAGGGACAGCAGTATGTAACATACAGAGTGCAGGGCCAGGAGTATGTAACATACGGAGTGCAGGGGCAGGGTATGTGACATACAGAGTGCAGGGGCAGGGGTATGTAAAATGCAAAGTGCAGAGGTCAAGAGTGTGTAACACACAGAGTGCAGGGGCCAGAAGTATGTAATATACAGAGCAAAGGGGTCAGCAGTGTGTAACATACAGAGTGCAGGGGCAGGAGTATGTAACATATACAGTGTGCAGGAGTCAGGAGTGTGTAACATACAGTGTGCAGGTTCAGGTGTATGGAACATACAGAAAATAGGGGGCAATGGTGTTTAAAATCATCAGTGGTCAAGTGTGTAACACACAGAATGCAGGTTCAGGTGTATGTAACATATAGAGTGCAGGAGTCATCAGTGTGTAACATACACACATGGGATTCACACAACAGTAATGCTACAGAAAGCTGTCGGAGACTACAGACATGAATTAAAAGACAATCACGACAGAATTGCACCACATTTGGTGCAATTCTGCCCACAATTCCAAATCATGTACACAAGATATTTCTTTCACTGGTTTGAGCAAGCAGCAAAACACAGCAGTGTCTGCAGGACACATAAGGGCCACATGCAGCCCCCCGGGCACAGACTGGGCACCAGGGCTCTATAACCCTTCACTACGATGTCCGAAAACAAACCAAAAAAGATTTGGCTAGAAATACAATTTAAAATGATTTTTTTTATTGATTCATGAATAATTAGCAATAGGAAGGATGCGTACCTCGAGATGCTTCGAATATCCCATTCAAGGAATAGACGAGGGTGCAGGTCAGGACGAGGGCGTAGAAGCCGAGCTCATAGTGCGGTAATGCCGTCTTTATCCCCATGTCTGCGGAAGTTCAGCCCAATGAATGTGTCTGTATGGAAGGAAAGAGAAAGACTCTGAAACATTGTATCAGGAGATGGAGAGAGAAGCATGGAGTGTTCCCAATAGCAACATGGAGTGTTCCCAATAGCAACCAAAGTCCTGATTTTCTTCTATCTATGGCTGCATTTACATGTAATGATGCTGTGTCCTGTGATTCTGCACAACATGTAGGCTGACTATTCAATGGGCTGCCCTACGCTCCAAAAACGTACCTTTTTTGGTGGCTACTTGGGCACGTTTTGGAGTGTTTCTCTGGCATTTTGTCAGTCAACAAAACACCCGTTTTTGTTTTTTTTTTTAAAAGTAATGGCACCCAAATGTGCGGCGTGTGTTTTGCCACATTTTCAGCATTATTTGCAAATAAGGGGAAAGTTGTACTGAGGAGCTTACACTTCAATGTCTCTACAATCTACACCAGAGTACACCAGAGGAGCTTACACTTTAATGTCCCACCTTGGTCACATCAGTCTCTACAATGTACAACAGAGGAGCTTACACTTCAATGTCCTACCTTGGTCAATCAGTCTCTACAATGTACACCAAAGGAGCTTACACTTCAATTTCCCATCACGGTCACATCAGTCTCTACAATGCACACCAAAGGAGCTTACACTTCAATGTCCCACCTTGGCCACATCAGCCTCTACAATGTACACCAAGGAGCTTACACTTCAATGTCCCACCTCAGTCACATCAGTCTCTACAATGTACAACAGAGGAGCTTACACTTCAATGTCCTACCTTGGTCAAGTCAGTCCTCTACAATGTACACCAAAGGAGCTTACACTTCAATTTCCCATCACGGTTACATCAGTCTCTACAATGCACACCAAAGGAGCTTACACTTCAATGTACCACCTCGGTCTCTACAATGCACACCAAAGGAGCTTACACTTCAGTGTCCCACCTCGGTCTCTACAATGCACACCAAAGGAGCTTACACTTCAATTTCCCATCACGGTCACATCAGTCTCTACAATGCACACCAAAGGAGCTTACACTTCAATGTCCCACCTCGGCCACATCATTGAATGTCAACGTCGGTCAATCTGTTTATGTACACCAAAGGGAAGCTTACACTCTACAATGTACACCAAAGGAGCTTACACTTCAATGTCCCACCTCAGTCATATCACTCTACAATGCACACCAAAGGAGCTTACACTTTAATGTCCCACCTTGTTCACATCAGTCTCTACAATGCACACCAAAGGAGCTTACACTTCAATGTCCCGCCTCGGTCACATCAGTCTCTACAATGTACACCAGAGGAGCTTACACTTCAATGTCCCACCACGGTCATACAGTTTCACCCCTTAGACACCATGAAACCTGTAAATACATCAAGGGGTTGAATGAGGTTCAGGAGGGAAGTATTTTCACCACGAAACAAAAATGAAGAACACGGAGACATGAGCTGACACTAATGGAGGAAAGTTCAGAACTCACCTCAGAAAGTACTATTTACTGAAAGAGTAGTTGATGTTCGGAATAAACTTCCAGTAAAGGTAGTGAGCCGTCAACAGTAAATAACTTCAAACATGCTTGGGACAAACATAGAACTATATTCAGACAAAAAAAAGTTAACAACAAAAAACAAAACAAAAAAACACGCACAAAACACCCCAAAACACCCACCCCCCCAAAAAAAAAACCCCCAAAAAACCCCACAACACACACAGAAAAAGGGCAGACTTGATGCACCACTCTGTCTTTTTTCTGTCGTCACTTTTCTATGTTTCTTCGATGTGGTCACGTTTTCGTGGGCACGGCGGCCCATTCATTTAAATTTCATTTCACACAGGAAAAAGGTTCCTGCAGCGTTTTGAAAACTCAGCGGCTGGGAAATCACACCATGCAATTTCCCTGCGATTCCTGCGTACGCAAATGCTGGTTTTTAGACATGTGGGGGTGCCATTAAGAATGAATGCTCCGCGAATTTTTGAAGAGCTGTGCGTTTCAGCTGCGGCTGCAGGAACAGCTGCGATTCCCACACCCACAATGCTGTGAACTGAACCTTAAAGGGTGAACACTTTGTTACCTGTCTCAGCAGGTAGGTGAGTTTTCTGGTTATCTGGGTGGAGAGTTTTTCTTGTTGTTTTGTCATTGTAAAGGGGATAGAATTCGTATTCCTTCTTGCGGGGAGTTTATCTTCGGCCTCCACCAGCGCTCTACTGACAGCGCCGTGTTCAGACGTCTGCCCTGATAGATAAGGGAGCGGCATGCTGACGGGATGTAACGCCACGGCTCAGGCAGGTGACATCCTCACCAGGGACCAGCAAAAAAAAAAAAAAAAAAAATCCCCCATTTTCCCCTTTGTTTTTGAGCTCAGTGCTGCTGATCTCCTGCAGTCTCTTTGCAGCCATTTCCCATCTACATGCACTCCGGCGATGGAATTTCTCAGGGCTGGTTTCCTGATGGTGACAACAGTGAATTACGTATGCCTGTGTAACGTGTGCCACTTGTAGTCTCCTTTTGGAAGTCTGTGAGGCAGGGGGACCCCTGAGCATTAGGAGAACAGACTGTTGTCAGCCTTTATCAGGAAATGCCCCAACAAGGACTTTAATGGCAGGATCACCAGGGATCATTGTAACAAGAATAAATGACCGGAATGTGTACAAACCCAAATGAGGGCATCTCATGCCTGGAACGCTCACATTACTGCGACACATGGCAGCACACATTACATGCATTGCTGAGTTGTGTTGTCATTTATTCATATGGGACCACAACACGCTAAGGCAACACGTGTGCTGCAGCATGTCACAACACATCATAGTGCCTTGTGGTTTCTAATTGGCTAGAGCAGGGGTCTCCAAACTTTATAAACAAAGGGCTGGTTTACTGTCCTTCAGGCTTTAGGGGGGGCCAGACATTGGTATGAGTGAGAAGAATAGTACCCCATCATTGGTGTCAGTGGGAGGAATAGTGCCCCATCATTGGTGTCAGTGGGAGGAATAGTGCCCCATCATTGGTATCAGTGGGGGGAATAGTGCCCCATCATTGGTGTCAGTGGGAGGAATAGCGCCCCATCATTGGTGTCAGTGGGAGGAATAGTGCCCCATTATTGGTGTCAGTGGGAGGAATAGTGCCCCATCATTGGTGTCAGTGGGAGGAATAGTGCCCCATCATTGGTGTCAGTGAGAGGAATAGTGCCCCATCATTGGTGTCAGTGGGAGGAATAGTGCCCCTTCATTGGTGTCAGTGAGAGGAATAGTGCCCCTTCATTGGTGTCAGTGAGAGGAATAGTGCCCCATCATTGGTGTCAGTGGGAGGAATAGTGCCCCATCATTGGTGTCAGTGGGAGGAATAGTGCCCCATCATTGGTGTCAGTGGGAGGAATAGCGCCCCATCATTGGTGTCAGTGGGAGGAATAGTGCCCCATCACTGGTGGCAGTTGGAGGAATAGCGCCCCATCATTGGTGTCAGTGGGAGGAATAGTGCCCCATTATTGGTGTCAGTGGGAGGAATAGCGCCCCATCATTGGTGTCAGTGGGATGAATAGTGTCCCATCATTGGTGCCAGTGGGAGGAATAGCGCCCCATCATTGGTGTCAGTGGGAGGAATAGTGCCCCATCATTGGTGTCAGTGGGAGGAATAGTGCCCCATCATTGGTGTCAGTGGGATGAATAGTGTCCCATCATTGGTGTCAGTGGGAGGAATAGTGCCCCATCATTGGTATCAGTGGGAGAAATAGTGCCCCATCATTGGTGACAGTGGGAGGAATAGTGCCCCATCATTGGTGTCAGTGAGAGGAATAGTGCCCCATCATTGGTGTCAGTGGGAGGAATAGTGCCCCATCATTGGTGTCAGTGGGAGGAATAGTGCCCCATCATTGGTGTCAGTGGGAGGAATAGTGCCCCATCATTGGTGTCAGTGGGAGGAATAGTGCCCCATCATTGTATCAGTGGGAGGAATAGTGCCCCCATCATTGGTGTCAGTGGGAGGAATAGTGCCCCATCATTGGTATCAGTGGGAGGAATAGTGCCCCATTATTGGTGTCAGTGGGAGGAATAGTGTCCCATCATTGGTGTCAGTGGGAGGAATAGTGCCCCATCATTGGTGTCAGTGGGGAATAGTGCCCCATCATTGATGTCAGTGGGAGGAATAGTGTCCCATCATTGGTGTCAGTGGGAGGAATAGTGCCCCATCATTGGTGTCAGTGGGAGGAATAGTGCCCCATCATTGGTGTCAGTGGGAGGAATAGTGCCCCATCATTGGTGTCAGTGAGAGGAATAGTGCCCCATCATTGGTGTCAGTGGGAGGAATAGTGCCCTTCATTGGTGTCAGTGAGAGGAATAGTGCCCCATCATTGGTGTCAGTGGGAGGAATAGTGCCCCATCATTGGTGTCAGTGGGAGGAATAGTGCCCCATCATTGGTGTCAGTGGGAAGAATAGCGCCCCATCATTGGTGTCAGTGGGAGGAATAGTGCCCCATCACTGGTGGCAGTTGGAGGAATAGTGCCCCATCATTGGTGTCAGTGGGAGGAATAGTGCCCCATTATTGGTGTCAGTGGGAGGAATAGCGCCCCATCATTGGTGTCAGTGGGATGAATAGTGTCCCATCATTGGTGCCAGTGGGAGGAATAGCGCCCCATCATTGGTGTCAGTGAGAGGAATAGTGCCCCATCATTGGTGTCAGTGGGAGGAATAGTGCCCCATCATTGGTGTCAGTGGGATGAATAGTGTCCCATCATTGGTGTCAGTGGGAGGAATAGTGCCCCATCATTGGTATCAGTGGGAGAAATAGTGCCCCATCATTGGTGACAGTGGGATGAATAGTGCCCCATCATTGGTGTCAGTGAGAGGAATAGTGCCCCATCATTGGTGTCAGTGGGAGGAATAGTGCCCCATCATTGGTGTCAGTGGAGAAATAGTGCCCCATCATTGGTGTCAGTGGGAGGAATAGTGCCCCATAATTAGTATCAGTGGGAAGAATAGTGCCCCATCATTGGGTCT